GTGCTGCGCATGCGCGCAAACAGTAACGCGAGTCGCAAGGCAAAAAAATCAAGTGTTTCACAACCTCATCATAGTGAAATGAAACTGTAATACTCCAAGCACAACATCATCTATTATCAGGTATTTTTATTATTTATTGACTTATTCATTATGTTCAATTTATACAAAAATCAAATCATGACTAAAAGGTAACTTTATTTTGTAACTTTATGTCTGTTTACAAAGTATTTTCTATATATTCTACTTTGCTCCAAAACAAAATAAGTAGTAGTATACATGCTCATTATGTTTGCTGGATATTTTTCACTTTTTGACTAAAACTAAAAAATGCTAGAATAAATATAGCTAAAATATATATAAATCTGCTAGTCAATAACTATAAGTAGCACTCACCTATCTATACGTTAAATTTATTCAAACTATTTATATTTATTTAATAATTAAGGAAAGTGGAGCTGGTGAGAACTCTACTTGAGCAATTACAAATGCAACTTGAGCAGTATTTTAGAACTTTGAGCAATTTAAAATATTGTATATATCAAAAGATATAGAAATTTGAATATACGGATAAATGAATTTTTTTTCAAGGACTTTATTGATTTTTAATTTTATAATTAATGGTGAGCAATTTGGAAGGGCTACGTAGTTGAATTGAGCTATTAAAAATCTATCGATTAGTATTTTTTTCATTGCGAATATCATAAATTTGCAGGCTGGGGTAGGGTAGGTTAAAAATGTGACACTGTCCTAATATTGCTCAGTTGTTAATAAATATTTGTGAAATTAGGAAAAAGAAAAAGTGATTGCACATTGTGAAAAAGTGAGTGTTGGATCGTGAAAGTAAAATTATTAGTGCAAGTGGTAAAGTGTTTTATTACAAATCGCCAACCCAGAAGTTTAGTGCTAAAACATTATTGTTTGATTTCGTGTAATTTATGTGTTGAAATAAAATTATAATCTTTATTATTATTACAATGGAATAATATTCCAACGTATATAAATGTGGTATAAAATAAAATAAAAAATTAAGTACACATACTAATTATATTTTTTGCATTTATAATATTTTTATTTGATTTAGAAACTATTTTTATAAATTTATTGTCATCAGATTGTAGGATACTGTGATAAAAATATTTTATGTTATTGTACTGTACAAATAACATCATTCGTTCAGTCATTTCGTCAAATATCGATATATTTTTCGACATTGTCAAGCACTAGTCGATGTCAAATGGAATCACTCGACAGTTTTGTCATTCGTTCTGAATATTGTAATCTAGCCATTTTATGATGGTTGTCAGATGTCAACAATACTTGGATAATATGACATTTTATTTTACATTTAATTAGATTTTGTGATAAATAATAATAAATGTAATAAAATAATGTATTTACAAGTAAAAAGAAATAGTGCTGCTTACGCCGCTATAGTTTTTACACCATTTAACAGAACATTTAGTCATTTTTGGGAGATTTTTCGTTGACAAGTATGTGCCTGAGACTGACGCAAAAAACAAACGACCAAGGCTAAAATCTCCTGGTTATTGACAAGACCGGTAAAGGTACGTCCGCTTATATATATGTCTGGTCCAGTGGCTAATTCGTTCATGATATATGCATATGACATCTGCAAAGAACAACATTGTAACTCAATATTTAGATATTTTAGAATGAACTCTAAACTCCAAATTCAAAATAATTATACAACACTGAGTGGCAATATTATTCCTTTCAAGTATAGACATCTTAGTGTTAAATTCAAAAAAGGAACATAATTTTTATCACTATTAATATTAAGGCCAGGTATTCCCAATTTTACATCACTTTGATTTAATAATAAACACAAGAAATCGTGATTTTTTAAAGTAAAAAAAAAAACTTATTGAAGTTTACTTTATATACTTTTACAATTTGTGGTTCGAAACACGATATCGAAAACTTCACTCGATCAAAAAAAATTCCGAAGAACAGTCAAATTCGATATTTTTTAAAGGTAATTCTTGTTTTTCTCGAAGCTTATAAAGGCTTTACTACTAAAAACCATATCTAAAAAAAGGTAATTATACATATAGAAAAATAATTTGTGGTTACATTTAAAAAAATAGCTTAATTCTTTTAATAATAAATTATTATATAACACAGCGGCTCGTGTTCGTCACTAATCACTTCAGTCGCCCGCCAGGCCTTGTCGAGGTAAGATCTATGTCCTTTTTTCCAGCGCGCGGCTATCACATAGTGTAAATAAAAGAAATCAGTAAAGCGTAAACGTGGTAGCGTTAAATGCCTACTTTGCTTGGTCTACCTGGCCTTAAGGATCGTCCTTAGTGCAGCACTTTTGTGAATTGTTAATAATCGATTATTATCAATTATTGAAACATCGATTGCTTTCATTTCGTATCACTCTTATACAGGAATTTTATGTGATTTGTAATGTATGTCACAAATCGATTACTTATCGATATTTGAATATCTTATAGATAATCAAATTTATATTATAACTAGCATTGCCCGCGGCTCCGCCCGCGTTCAGATGACCAAAAACTAAATTCTTAGGTGTTACATATTAGTATACTCTTACATTGCAGTTTTTGTATTTTTCCTCAGAAATAAGATATTTTCCCGCGGTAAAAAGTATCCTAGGATCGCGCGCTACATCGCCCGGTTTATATAGCTTGAGCAGGCGGTCGAGCGATGCGGGGCAGAGGGGATGGACTCGCCGTAGGCATCTCAATGCTCGCCAAGCATTAAAAATGTTTCGCTACTAATTACTTCTAACAACGATATCTCAAAAACTATTCATCTGATTGATTTAGTGTAAAGAGCAATTTTAATCTGCATTAAATGACTAAGCTAACTAAAATATTCATTTGGATAAGGATTAATACCGAACTAAAGAAAATAACTTTGAAAATAACGTAATGTTTTTAATTAAAAATGTTAACATAAAAGTGGTTATTGTAAGTCAACCGTAAGAGATAGAGATATGCTATCGCGGACTTTTTTGTAGCATTTTTATAGATTTTGAATTCTCTAGTACATTACTTAACTGTATCTTTGCTAGTTTACGCGGCGTTCGCGTGGAAAGTTCCCATTTGGCGAGATTTTTTGCGACCTCTTCAACATTTGTCGCCGTATTTCAGCTAATTTACATAAAAGCATAATAAATTATATACCTAAACCTTCCTCAAGAATTACTCTTTCTATTGTTGAAAACCGTATAAAAATCCGTTCAGTAGTTTTCGAGTTTATCGCGTACAGACAGACAGGAGGACAGACAGGAGGACAGAAAGACGCGGCCGGGGGACTTATTTTTATAATAAGTATAGATTGCTTATATTATAATTATATATACCTACTACTATATTGTATTATACTGGTATTGTTAGGTACCTGTCGTAGTATTGAATTGTTAAACCAAATCGGATTCGATTTGTGAAATTTAAATAAGGAATTGACTTAGAAAATTGATAAGAAACAGATTTTAGTTATTAAAGATAATCAAAAAGTACGTAAAACTGTTGATATTTTATGTGGAAATAAATAAAAATGACTGATTGAATATAACAAATATATATTATTAGCAGTAGCACGACCAAAGAGTATAGTTACAAACTGTACACGGCACAAATGAAAAAAAAGAGGTTTTATGCTTACATGACGCGATTTATATACAGTTTACATTGACAGGTCATGGATGTTGCCAACTTAATTATAATTTGTTTGCGTTCTTACTTGCCAACACTCCCCACAGAACGCAAACCCATTTTACTTATACAGAACAAATGTTTTTCAAAAGTCGTACCTTTAGTTAAGTTATCAGCTACCATATTGCAACTATTTACAAATTTAAATTTAACTTTAGAATTAACAATGTTATCTCTAAGAAAATGTAAACGAATATCTATATGTTTAGTTTTAGATTTATAACAGTCTGTTGATGCCAGTCTTATTGCACTTTGATTGTCACAATGGATGAGTAGCGCGCTGTCCACGCCTTGCCCGAGCTCGTCCTGCAGTTGCCGCAGCCACAGGGCCTCCTGGGACGCCGCTGACATCGCCATGTATTCGGCCTCCGCCGTAGAGAGTGCCACGGTTTGCTGTTTACACGAATTCCAAGATAAACAAGCATTCTGAAACAGAAAAATATAACCCGTACATGATCGTCTATCCACTGGGTCACTCGCCCAGTCAGCATCACAATATCCAGTTATTTCCTTTGAATCATCTTTGACATAGCATAGCTTCAGGTTCCTGCTTATATTTATGCCGATACAGTTCTTCATTTCACCTAGGTCTTTCATACTGCATTCTCCTTTTAACTTGTTTTAATCTCTGTTGTTTTATCCTTATTATTTGTGAATATTAAAAGATCATCCACCCACACTGCAATGAATATAGTTATAGACTTATTAACTAAATAATAAATACAGGGATCTACATGTGATCTTTGTAAGCCAATTTTTAATAAAATATTATTTAATTTAAGATTCCACTGCCGGCTAGCTTGTTTGAGTCCATAAATTGATTTATGTAAAATACATACTTGATCATTTTTTTTTGTAGTATTCTGGTTGTGACATGTATATCTCGGTATCTATGTCACCCTGAAGAAAAGCACTTATAGCATCCATCTGAAAAATTTCTAAATCATACTTCGCGGCCAGTGAAAGCAAGTATCGAACAGATGTATACCTTACAACAGGAGCATATGTCTCATCATAGTCACTTCCTTTCCTCTGAGCATACCCTTTGATAACCAGTCTTGCTTTAAAACGGATAATCTCACCTTTGTCATTTGTTTTAGTTTTATTGACCCATTTACATGGTAAGACTCTTTTCCCAGATGGTGCATCAACCAGTGACCAAGTTTTGTTTTTAATCAGAGAGTCATACTCCTCTTGCATAGCCTTTTTCCATTGGTCAGCATAAGGTGATGATAATGCGTCGTCAGTTGTCTGTGGATCATTTAAATTAAGTATCGGACAGAAGTAACTTACATCATGGTCATCTGTTTCTGCATACTTAATAGGTCTCCGTGGACGTAAATTTATGTTTCTTAATGATGACTCGAGATCAATCGATTGTTCTGGTATGTAGGATGTATTGTCATTATCATCAGACTGGTAGTCCTCGCTTGACTCACCAGTAGAATGGTTTGTGCCGTGCTCTCTTTCATCATTTGTGCCGTGCTCTAATTTTTCTTTACAGGTTTCTTCGAGTGGCTGTATCTCTGGACTGCTGCTGTTGGATGTACAAGGTAAGTATATATTATTATCATATTTTTCCACGTTTTCTAAAAATACAATGTCTCTACTTTTTATGATTTTATTAGTATCTGGATCAAGTATTCGATATCCTTTGGTAGATTCACAATAACCAACAAACAATAACTTTCTGGATTTGAAGTCCCATTTTTGGCGTTTTTCTTTTGGGACTTGTGTCATTACTTCACAGCCAAATATTTTTAAATTAGACAAGTTGGGTTTCTTACCAGTCCACATCTCCATAGGAGTTTTACCATCAATTGATTTTGTAGGTGATCTGTTCATTACATATGCTGCAGTTGCAAGGGCCTCTGCCCAGAACTGTTTTGCAAGCTGAGCATCAAACAACATACATTTTGCTCTTTCCACCAGTGTCCTGTTCATTCGTTCAGCAAGACCATTCTGCTGGGGTGAGTACGGAGCACTTGTTTGATGTTCAATTCCATATTTGTTCAAGAAGTTTTCAAATTCTCTATTACAGTATTCTTTTCCATTATCAGAACGAATTATTTTTATTTTTCTTTCATGTTCATTCTCTACTTTGTTTTTGTAATCTTTGAAAACTTCTAGAATATTTAATTTATTTTTCAAAAAATAGACATGTACTCGTCTCGTGTAATCGTCTATGAAAGTAATAAAATATTTCATACCTCCTAAAGATTCTTGCTCCATTGGTCCACATAAATCAGTGTGGACCAGTTGCAGTGGGTGTGAAGATCTTGAACCGATGTTGTTAAAGGGCAATCTGGTCTGTTTCCCAGAGAGGCAGGTAGTACAAGTAATAGAACCTTTATTTTTGTTTGTGAACGGCTGTACTCCCTCAGCACACTCTGGCAGCTTGTTAACATCTGAAAAATTCAGGTGTCCCATGCGTCTGTGCCATAGGACAAAATCATTTAAATTATCTGAACAAGACAGGTTAGAAAATATCTCTCTGTGTGTGTTTAATAAATATAAATTATTAACTTGTGTAGCTGAACATAGGAGCTTGCCATTTTTATCATAGATATCACAACCTCTATCTCTAAAATTTACATTACAGCCATTTTTCACCATAGCACTGACTGACAGGAGGTTTGCAGCTAGTTTAGGTATGTATAAAACTTGTCTTACCTGAATTTTACTTTCTTCATTACCATTTAGCAATAAATTGACCTTTCCCATACTATCCACAGGTAGCGGTGTCTTACTGGCAACAGTTATGGTGGGTATCGGTGGACTTGTGACATCATACATCCAGTCACATCTATTTGTCATATGCATGGAGGCACCTGAGTCCATATACCACAGGTCCGGATTCATTGTATGAAATGCTGAAAAAGCTGCAACAAAACTTTTATTACTTTCTATATTTTCTACATTCTTCCTTTTCAGAGCATGACAATTCCTTGCAAAGTGTCCATGCTTGTTACAATTATAACATCGGGGTCCTTTGTGAACCTTTGTTGAATCATGTTGATTTCTTTGAATGACCTTTTTCCTTGTGAAGAATGCTGAGTTATCTGAGCATTGAACTTCCTGCAGGAGTTTAGATTTAATAGAATCTGCACTTATCTTGATGCCAGAGCTCTCCAGTCCCATTATCATGGGCTTATATGCTTCAGGGAGGCCAGCTAACATCAGTGTACCGAGCCATTCATCATTTACATCAAACTTGATATTCCTGAGCTTGTGAGCAGTCGACATGATTTTATTCACATAATTATCTACGCTTCGAGAAGATTCTAATGAATTGTAACCTGAATTCGACATCTTCTATGCGTATTTAAGATTTTTACGGTTTGTGACTGAGCACGCGGTACGCCACGCCGGATAACCACAAAATGGCGGACAACACGCCGGCCGGTATTCTTAGTTTTACTGCTAACTGCGTTACTTTTTCTTCTTTTATTTCCACAATTAGTAGCAATCAACCACGCTCTGCTACCATGTTGATATTTTATGTGGAAATAAATAAAAATGACTGATTGAATATAACAAATATATATTATTAGCAGTAGCACGACCAAAGAGTATAGTTACAAACTGTACACGGCACAAATGATGAAAAAGAGGTTTTATGCTTACATGACGCGATTTATATACAGTTTACATTGACAGGTCATGGATGTTGCCAACTTAATTATAATTTGTTTGCGTTCTTACTTGCCAACAAAAACAACTATATAATATATTTTTTATAACTTTATGTAGGTAATAATTGAAGCCTAACCCACTAGTATCTCATACATAGGCTATACTTCTGACAACCCACATGTATTTTGTTTGATATGGTGGTGTAGTGGCTAGCATGTACGGCTGCACACTCGGAGGTCCTGGGTTCGAATCTCGGGTAGGGCCAAGTTTAGTTATTGAGTCTTTCTCAGTAATAGCCTGGAGTTGGGAATTTGGCGGTGTTTCACCCCCGTGCCTCGGAGAGCACGTAAAGCCTTCGGTCCTGCGCCTTAACTCTCACCGGTCGTATCGAGCAGTCGTCCCACCGGAGTATAAGAGTGACATGAATAGAGAGTGCACTATAATATCTCCTGCGCAGTTGGCCAGTCTTAATGAGATTGGCCGCCGTAGCCGCAATCGGCTAGGAGATATATATATATATACATATATATATACATATATCTATACATATAATAAAATTGTAACTAAGCCGAATCTGTACATTAAATATTTTTTGGAAAGTCTTATTGAATTAGACATTATTATCGATACAGAGGTCGAATCTATAGTTTTTAGAATTTTTGTCTATCTGTCTGTTACCGCATCACAGAAAAACCACTGAAGAGATTTTAATGAAATTTATCTGCTTATCCGGGTCAATATATATGCAGGCTTACTTTTTACCGCGGAAATATATCTATTTTTTTAGAAATAATACAAAAATTGCAATGTAAAAGTATACTAATATGTAAAACATAAGAATTTGGTTTTTGGCCATCTGAGCGCGGGCGGAGCCGCGGGCAATGCTAGTATATTAATAATAATAATAGAAGGTCGTATTCTTTTTTTAATTATATATATTTTCTATTTAGTTGACTTTCTTCGCCTTGGCCTTGCTCTTGGGTTTCGACGGGTACACTACAAAGAGAGCAAGTTGGAATACGCAGGAAGAAAACGCTACCATGTTTTGGAACTGAAAAGAAAAATTTTTTTTTTATCTATACTATAATAAAACTTTAAGAGGTTGAATGTCTGTAAATAGAAAAAAATAGCTAAAAACTGAGTCAGGGGAATGTAAGAAGAGAAATAGAACAGATCCAGATTTTTTTCAAATGTGTTCGTTTCTCTGTCTGTTTGTACGGGCTAATCTCCGAAACTGTAAGACCGATTTAAATGAAATTTACGTGATGGTATCTCACATCCCCGATAAACATTTTAGATACTTTTCATCCCGGGAAATTAAAGAGTTCCTATGGGATAGTTAAAAAACTATAGTAACTTATACAGCTTAGTACACAACAACTTGTGCACCTAATTAAGTAAAATTTGGCATGCTGATACCTTACCTATATTACCTACCGGTCAAACATCAGGTTACTTATTATCCCGTAAAATGAACGGTTTCCGTGGGACAGATCTGTGTGTGCTTTTATATAGGCGAACCCAACCGAAGCGAGGTTGAGCCGCTAGTTACAAAATATTAGGACTCAATTATACTACGCTCAAACATTTATGAAAATGGCTCTCCGAGTTCATTTCAAATAGAAAAAGATATTGCATTATTTTAAAGCTTTCTATGTAGTAGCCTTAGAAAGGTTCATTACAGCAAAAACTAAACAACTGTTTTAGCCCGACCCAGGTCTTGAACCCAGGTTCCTCACAATCTAAAGCCGTAATACTTCCCACTTTTCTTTGCTATATAAAAATAACTTCTTTACTGTGGTAATACTTAATGAACGACTTGATGTAATGATAAGTCTATACGTGAGCTCATGACTAATAAGAATTAGTAATAATACTATATTGCCCGCTGACATCTTCTTCCACAACCAGGGTTGACTGGAAGAGATCTCTTTTAGAGATAAGTCCACCTTTGTGAACTATGTTTACTTTGTTATTTTTTTTTTCTGTATCATATTTTAAGTGCAATAAAGAATATAATAATAATATGCGAATAATCATTTCGATCACTAACAATCGATAAATATTACTGATATATGTACGTATAAGTTACATTATATTATCTATCTTATATAATACCATAGTATTTTACAAATTTTAAAAATATGTATTTAGTTCGGTAGATTTTGTACCAAGATTAGTGATGTAACATAAAAAAACGACTTTGTTTTTTTCACTATGATGAAAAAACATGAAAAAATAACAAAAAAATGCGCTTATTTCCATGTATTTTTAAGTTTTTTTTACCGTAGAAAAAATACATTTTTTTGCCACACTAACCAAGATAATAATCGAAAACATAAGTGATAAAACACTGATATCTATTTGAAATCACAAATCATAATCTATCCATATAATAAAGCACTAACTTAGCGAAGTGTGTACATGAAATATTTTTTTAAAACAATGACTGTAACGTATTGTTTACAGAATACAGACCCCAAAACAATAGTTATTAAACAAACAAAAAATGATTGTTTTTTTTTTACGTCTGATCTTCTGTTTGCGTGTGCGCGTTTAACGCAAAAAGTACTGAACCAATTTTAATAAAATCTAGTCAACATTTGGGATACCTTTTACTAAAGGAAAATCTTTCATCACCACGGGAAAACACTCTATCGTTGTCCTTAAAAATTTATATGGCTAATACTGGTTAAAACTTAACAGATAGGTACATCAAAACAATTTATTAGAAAATTGTACGTCTTAAAAAAGGCCTACAGAAAAGTCTTCAATAGCCCATGTCTCTCTCCAAAATACACACGCAATACCTATTTTTCTTATATACCTATTAGTTGACCTGATCGACCTCGTTCTGTCAAATCAAATGTGTAAAATTTTTACCAATTAGGAAAATGGTGTTTTTACGTATTTCCGATATTTTTTCCAATTTTCCTCGTCATAAGAACCTTCCTCAGGCTTAGCGAATATTTGAATTAAAAAAAATTGCCGAATTAGGTCACTTCTTCTCGAGTTTTGCCCTAAGCATTTAGTGATAAATTTTTATTTATATAATATCCGAAAAGATAAGATAAAAGGCAATGTGGTGACACACTTATCGACTTATCAACGTTCAGCCCTAATCGATGAGGATATACGTTTAAAAATTTGAGAGGATATTCATTTTATACTGTAGGTGTTATTTATAAAAGGATTTTTCGAAATTAATACCCTAAGGGGAAAAGAGAGGATGAAAGTTTGTATAAAAATTTTAATGCGAAAAGCAGGAAAAAAATGTATATTAGGCGTTTTGAAATTAGGGATGAACTATTTTAGGTAATAAAATTGGATGGTAAAGTTTATATGGAAAAAAATATTTATGATCAGGATTATTTGAAACTTAATATTATTGCTCTTCAACACAAGTAAATAAACACAAATAGATATAATTCGGACCCTAGGAGGGTAAAAAGGGGTAAATGTATGAACTTTCTCCAGGTTTTAACATCGAAGAAGGATTTTTCAAAATACGGACCAGGGCAACGCGAGTTTAAATAAAAAAATCAGCTTTATATATTAGTAGGTACTATTTTGTTAGTCGAAAACATTTCTAAAAAATTTTTTGTATTAATGTTCTGATCTTTAAATCTTAAACCCTGGCAATTGCCAGTCTAATGAGGTTCCGTACTACCAAATATTTTAATTCAGTTTAAGTATTTATAATTTTTTTATAAAACTTATAAACATTACGAATATGCGAATTTTAATCTCTCCACGACCGCGGACACGCCGGCGTGTCAGTTAACAATAGATTTCTTAGAATTTTTAATAATTTCTTAGAAATTTACCTGCAGGTGTTAGATGATTTGTTTCTTGGTTGTTTAACGCAGACGGAGCCGCGCGATATTGCTTATGATCTATAAATTATGCTCTATAGTCACGAAAGAAAATATGTACATGATTTTTCAACCGACTTCAAAAAGGAGGAGGTTCTCAAGTCGACTGTATTTTTTTATGTTTATTACCTCAGAACTCCGTCATTTATTAACCGATTTGGACAATTTTTGTGTTGTTTGAAAGTGCCCTTCCAGATTGGTCCCATTCAAATTTCAAAAAAAAAATACCACCCCCAAGGGTGGAAAAATAGCTAATGATGAATTTAACCAACTTCTAATTGTCATATTGACTTGAAACTTTGCAAGTGTTTCTATTTCCGTTGATAGTACAGTGGTTTGGTATTGTTGACCTGATCTGATGGTAAAGCCAGAAGGTGGATAGGTGGAACTCTTCAACGGCTAATAGTAGATACTTTGAGTTTGGGCTTATTTTGTTTGATTTGACAAGCCTAACACGTTAGAATTCTTACTTTGCTACTACTGTCTACACTAAAAAGGGAAAAATAAAAACTTTTGAACAAAAAAATAAAAATCGACATCAAACAAAAGCACTAAAAAGTAAAAAATAACTGATTGGAAGTTTTCATTTACTATACATACCTAATCAAATATTTTCGAAGTCGGTGTGCTTTGGCTAAGTAATTAAAGCCTAGGTACCTATTAAATACATACCTAATCAAATATTTTCGAAATCGGTGCCAGCCCATACAAAGCAAAGCACACCGACTTCGAAAATATTTGATTAGGTATGTATAGTAAATAAAAACTTCCAATTAGTTATTTTTTACTTTTTAATGCTTTTGTTTGAAGTCGGTTTTTATTTTTTTGTTAAAAAGTTTTTATTTAAAGCAATGACTAACGTACTATGTGCAGAATATAAACCCCAAAACAATAGTTATTAAAAATGTTGTCTGTTTGTCTACATATCTGTATGCATTTCACGCAAAAAGTACCTACCTACGGAACCGATTTTAACTAAATTTTGTGTAGTGATAACTTATTACTCGGGTCAACACTTAAGATACCTGCTACTAGAAAAAAATCTTTATTCCTCAGGAAAACATGATGATAACTGATCGAATCGTTCTTATAAATTTACAATCTTAAAAAACCTATAAAAAAATCTGCATTAGCATAAGGTCGCACCGAGGCAATTATGAAATAATTGCGTTCGTTTGAACCCTTGCTGTATTTTTATTACTAAAACTTTAATTATGTATTTTAAATAAAACTATCTTTTCGGATTTTGTCGCGGATTTATTTGTATTTTTGTTTCCCGACGTTTCGAATGCTTTACAGCATCCATGGTCACGGGAGAGACTGAGGTGTTACATGTCTTAAAGATATAGTTGTTACAGACAGCCTACCCACAATTAACAAAATGAAAATTGCACCAATTACATTACAATATTTTAACTTTAAATATTTTTATAATTTTAATTATAATTGAATATGGAAAATTATTTATTTAATTTTTGCTATTATTTTTATAATTATTACAATTTTAAAAATATTAATTAGCAATCTATATTTAGTGTTGCCATTATTATATTTATAACCATAAGAAAAATATAAAATATAGTATTAATTATTTAAGCCACAATTGATCTATGTGTAATTTGAAAAAGTTAAGATTAATTAAAAAATAATAATTTTAATTTAAATTTGCTATTATTTAAAAACAAATTATTAAGCAACACATTACTACATACATTTACAAATGAAAAAGTGAAAAAATATTATTAATCAGAAATGCTATCATTTTGATCTACACAGTAAGAACTTACTACATCTACCTGTCTGTTATGTTTAGATTTATTATTAGATTTTATTATATTAATAACAGGATCCCATGACGATGGTAGTACCCAGCCATCTTCCCTATTGAAATTAGGATGTTTTTTAATTTCTATGGCTTCTCGAATCATTCTAGGGCGATATCGGTTTTCTTTCGCCAGGATTTGAGGCCTATCGAAGCGAATATAATGGCTTGGGCGGTCCTGACTGTGTTTGCAGACAGCAGATGTTGTATGCGACGGTGCTTCACATCAGCTATGTGTTCTTTGACCCGGGTTCTAATGGATCTCTTTGTTTGTCCGATGTAAGAGAGCCCACAATCACAATCAAGCTTGTAAACTCCTGCATCTTGTAGAGGGATGTGGCACTTGACAGGTGGTAGAAACTGACTAATTTTCTTTGGCGGCTTGAAGTAAGTTTTAATTGAAGCTCGCTTTAGAATGTAGCCAATCTTGTCAGTGACGCCTCTCATGTAAGGTATTGTGGAATGATGAATTCTACAAGCAAGTGGATGGAGTGGCCATGGGTTCGCCGGTCTCTCCCGTTGTAGCTGACATCTTCATGGAGGCCTTCGAGGAGACCGCCCTAAACACATCACCTGTGACCCCTCGTTTCTACAAGCGGTATGTAGATGACACTTTCACAATATTACCATCTGATAAAATATCTGTATTCTTAGAACATCTTAACTCCATAAACCCTAAAATACAATTTACAATGGAATTGGAGTCTAATAATTCTTTAGCTTTCTTAGATGTATTAGTCATACGTAACCCAGATAACACCTTGAGTCATACTGTGTATCGAAAGAAGACCCATACTGATAGGTACTTGAATGGTGAATCTCACCACCCCCCTTCACAGTTAGCTACCGTGGGAAAATCTTTGTTTCAGAGGGCACGCGGGATCTGTGACGAGCAACACCTGGCCGGAGAACTGCAACATGTCAAGCAAGTTCTGCGAGACAACAAGCTGCAAGTGCCGCGCCTACGTCACAGGGACCGAGTGAAACCAGCCACAGTCGAGCGCGTCCCTGCAGTCCTACCTTACATGAGAGGCGTCACTGACAAGATTGGCTACATTCTAAAGCGAGCTTCAATTAAAACTTACTTCAAGCCGCCAAAGAAAATTAGTCAGTTTCTACCACCTGTCAAGTGCCACATCCCTCTACAAGATGCAGGAGTTTACAAGCTTGATTGTGATTGTGGGCTCTCTTACATCGGACAAACAAAGAGATCCATTAGAACCCGGGTCAAAGAACACATAGCTGATGTGAAGCACCGTCGCAATACAACATCTGCTGTCTGCAAACACAGTCAGGACCGCCCAAGCCATTATATTCGCTTCGATAGGCCTCAAATCCTGGCGAAAGAAAACCGATATCGCCCTAGAATGATTCGAGAAGCCATAGAAATTAAAAAACATCCTAATTTCAATAGGGAAGATGGCTGGGTACTACCATCGTCATGGGATCCTGTTATTAATATAATAAAATCTAATAATAAATCTAAACATAACAGACAGGTAGATGTAGTAAGTTCTTACTGTGTAGATCAAAATGATAGCATTTCTGATTAATAATATTTTTTCACTTTTTCATTTGTAAATGTATGTAGTAATGTGTTGCTTAATAATTTGTTTTTAAATAATAGCAAATTTAAATTAAAATTATTATTTTTTAATTAATCTTAACTTTTTCAAATTACACATAGATCAATTGTGGCTTAAATAATTAATACTATATTTTATATTTTTCTTATGGTTATAAATATAATAATGGCAACACTAAATATAGATTGCTAATTAATATTTTTAAAATTGTAATAATTATAAAAATAATAGCAAAAATTAAATAAATAATTTTCCATATTCAATTATAATTAAAACTAGCGGCTCACCCTCGCTTCGCTCGGGTTCGTCGCTAGGTACGTTTTAAATAGATATAAAAAGAAAAAATCTTTCTTTCTCACATTTTAATTATATGTTTTAATACTTACCTATTCCGGACTAAGAGAAATCCAAAAATTAAAATATCATAAAAATTGGAACGCGGTCGAACGGGATAAAAAGTATCCTATGTCCTTCTCCTGGCTCTAAACTACCTCCCTGCCAATTTTCAGCTAAATCGGTTCAGCCGTTCTTGAGTTATAAGCGAAGTAACTAACACGACTTTCTTTTATATATATAGATTATAAAAATATTTAAAGTTAAAATATTGTAATGTAATTGGTGCAATTTTCATTTTGTTAATTGTGGGTAGGCTGTCTGTAACAACTATATCTTTAAGACATGTAACACCTCAGTCTCTCCCGTGACCATGGATGCTGTAAAGCATTCGAAACGTCGGGAAACAAAAATACAAATAAATCCGCGACAAAATCCGAAAAGATAGTTTTATTTAAAATGTCAAATATTCGCGTAAATCTAAGAAAGTATTTAATTATGTAATTAATATGTAGGATATTTAAGGATTTATTCTATAAATCATACACTTTAGTAACACGATTACTTGTAGTACTCTAAAAACAAAATAAACCCTTAACGCTTTTGTTCAAGGTAATGTGAGCTAAGCCGCGGCCGTAACTTACTCGTAGTTATAAATCTGAACAATATCATGTAAAATATATAAATAAAATAAATAAATATGTTGGGACATTAACACAACACTATCTAGTTCCATGGTAAGCTACGAGGCCTGATGGATACCAGATAGTAGGTAGGTACATTACTCATACTTATATAACTTTAAATACATACATATTATAAAATATAGGTATAAATATAATCTGATAACAGTAGTTAATTATCTTTCAAGTTTATCTTCTTCATCTTATCTGCAGACACGTAATGTAATAGGTTCATATTTTACAATTTTATGAGTCATTGACAGATAGATTATTATTATATTGCAGATTACTATTATCCATATTAAATACTAATATTATAAATGTGAAAGTGTGTTTGTTTGTTTGTCCTTCTTTCACGTCGAAACGGAGTGACGGATTGGCGTAATTTTTTGTGTAGAGATAGTTGGAGGACTGGAGAGTGACATAGGCTACTTTTTACTGCGGGAGATTATCTTATTCCCACGGGAAAACAACTTATTATACAACTCAAAAAATATTTATGATTAGAATTATTTCAAACTTAGTATAAATTCTCTTTAATACAATTAAACGAATACGTGTCTTAGCATTTTTCGAAATCGATCCCACGCATGTTCACACACGCACATTCACGCGCACACACGCATACATCCACGCAAACACGCATACATCCACGCACACATGCACGCACAAGCATACAAACTTTCGCATTATATAGAAGTGTTATTAAAATTCATAACAAACTTACCACAATAAACTTATTCTTTAAGATGATTCCATACAAAAGCCACATGAAAGTCACGACGGTTCCAGATAAGATCATGGGGAACGGCATGCCTTCAGTGCTCTTGTTTTTTATTATATATTTCTATAACAATAACAATAATGCTTTAAAAATCATATTATATAAGGAAATAATAACTTGTGACAGAAATACAACAAAAGATAACATGAAAACTGTTTTTTTAATAATAAGTATTGCTTTGAAACGAAACAAAGAATAGATTTTATCACTTCGTAGATAATAGTACTATCATATTATGTGAATAGATAATTATTAATAGTTATATAACTTATTTTTTTCAATTTTAGAAAAAAATGAAAAATTTTAGAAAAAAAAAAATTGAAAAATTGGAAAAACTGTTGTAAGTACATTTCGACTTATAAAATATTACGTAAGAACGTCTTTTACCTCCCACCTCCCTCCTTCAGAGATAAGGGCATGTAGAGATTTTGAGAACCGCCCCTTCAGGTACCATACGTAATTAATGAATGGCCACTTATCCAATTTTCTTTAGCATTTACAACAACAAAAAAATAACTTACATAACATACAATACATAAAAAAGACTTACCAAATTTAACAATGGTGAAGCGATCAAATAGAACACGAACGCTGAGATAATACTTCCAAATCTATTTTTAATGAGCTTAGGGTCTTCCATCTCCGCGTACACAATCAACCCGACGCACACCGCCAGCGCCGCGCCCGTCTTGAGCCAGTTCTCCACCAACTTATGCTTAGAGTAAGTATAGAATACTATCAAGTAAATAATACTTAGCGTTACACCGAAAAAGTTTACTTGGATCATTGTATCGTCGCGGAGTATGAAGCCAAATTTTAAATTGAGGACACCCCTGTAGATGAAATGACAAAATTTTATTATATACATAGTCTGGCCATAAATACTGTTAGAATTAAAAATAAACAAAATATTACATTTGAATTTGGAATTTGTCATTTTTATATGATTGTTTTCTCATTTTCGCGCCAATACATTATAAAATATTTTGTGATATTAAAATGGAGTGGGGTGATAAAGAGAACCGAATCGCTGTGATTGCATTACACAAAGTAGGTATGGTGCCAAATACAACTTTTAAAACTCTCCCTACACTTGGTATTAGTCAAATGTTTGTGTACCGGGCTATTGTTAGTGGCTCCTCTGTGACTGAAAAGGAACTGACCGTCCATGTAGTGTTCGTTCGAAAAGGGCGATCAAAGCAGTAAGGGAAAGAATTCGAAGAATCCTGTCCGAAAGCAAAAGATTTTATCTCGGGAGATAAAGATAGCACCTAGAACCATGTCACCTATTTTAAAAGATGACTTAGGACTTGCAGCCTATAAGAGACTCACTGGTCATTTCTTAACTGATAATTTAAAAAAGAATAGGGTGGTAAAATCAAAACAACTACTTAAGCGGTACGGAAATGGAGGTCACATAGAAAATTTGTTTACGGATGAGATTTTTTTTACAATTAAGCAACATTTTAACAAACAAAATAACCGTATTTATGCTCAAAGCTCTAAGGAAGCTTCCCAATTAGTCAACAGAGTACAACGTAGGTATTATCCGACTTCAGTGATGGTTTGGTGGGGTGTTAGCTAGCAATATTTATGGCAAGGCTATGTACTTATAACTACATATCTTTCCGGATTTTGTCTCTCCCGTGATCAAGATTGCTGTAAAGTAATCATAACATCGGGAACCAAAAATCAAAATTAATCCGCGAAAAGATTCAATCAAATATACTACGAAAATATTACATACCTATATAATTGAATTTTTACTATCATAAAAAATACATTTTTTCTTTCTACATAGATACAAAAATAATTAAATTACAAAATAGAGAAACGGACCCTTATATAATGAGAAATGTTAGTCCTGTTTCAAATGACTTTCAAAAAGGAGGAGGTTCTCAATTCGTCGGAATCTTTTTTATGTATGTTCACCGATTACTCGTAGATGCCTGGACCGATATAGTTTTTTTTCTTTTTGGTTTCAAGAGGTATACTTCCCATATAAATTTTATCGGAATCGGTCAAGCGGTTTTTTAAAAAATCAACAAAAACTTATTTTTTAAAATAAATTTCTTAATCGAATATGTTATTAAAAAACGTTCTTGTTACAAATTACCTGCTTATTACGTCTACACTAAAAATGGAGAAATAAAACCTTAAAAAAAATAAAAAGCAACTTCCAGGCACTAAAATGTAAAAAAAACCTAAACGGGGGTTTTCATTCAAAATAGATACCTAATCCTGTCTAAGATAATTTCGAAGTCGGTAATATACATATTTACCTATTAGACATATCTTAAAATATTGTCGGCTAGCACCGACTTCGAAAATATATAATTAATATCATTACATAATTGTAAAAAAAATATCCAGCTCCAAAAAACTAAAATTAAGTTAAATTTTTTTTATTAAAAATAACATACCTACCATCATATTCGGTCTGATTAATGGTGTGTGTTTCAACTATTTTGAATTTCCCACCTATATTTGCACTTTTTAATAATTATTTTCTTAATCAAAAAAAAATTACATTCAAAAATATTGATATAGACTTAATTCAAAAGCAATAAATACTATAAAAAATATTTCACCTTCATAAATCACACGCATATTCCCTATTATTAGCCTAACACATGATCGTTGTTAGTCTTGTCTCGCTTCTACTTCAATTAATACTCTAAGTTATAATAAACTCATTTAGATAAAACGTTTTAAATTTTAAGGAAAAGTATAGTAAAAAGGTAAATACACGTTATATTTAAAATTTACATGAAGAAATAATATATCTCAAGCTATATAAATAAAATAAAATTAAATTTAATGCTGTTCGTCAAACCCTTGAGAACGCCAGCCCTTGCTTAAATTTTGCAAGCGATTTAGCATATTTTTTTTAAATGATCGTAAAAGTTAAAATAATTTTATATTGTTAATTAATTAAATTCTTTAATAAGGTTTTTAGGGAAAAAATGGAATATCACCAGAAAATTGGTTACCCTGTAAATATAAAAGTTATTTTCTCTATAGCATTTGTGTATGAACTCAAAGGTCATAAACAAACTTATTGAAATAAATAGGATAATATCTGTCCAGCTAGCCTTAAATAAAGAGCGTACAACTAGATTAAAGGAGGAAGTTTTCCCTTTCTTGGCTCAATAAATTCGATGACAATAAGTGGTGAATAATTTAGTACCAAATTATACTTACATCATAAGACCGCCTAGGAAGTGCATAATCCCCATTTCCTTCGTGCTACCTTGCTTGTAAATCTCTAAGCAAACGAAAGCTCCAGAGAACATTTGGCTCATAGTGACGATACGCGTAATTATCGCTACCGGGTCCTTGTAAGGCTGCAAAATATCGCCGAGCACCTCCATTTTGTTTGCTAGAAAAAAGTTTTATAACAATTATCTTAATTTCAAAATTAGATAACAATTATCTTAATTTCAAAATTAGATAAACAATGAAAACGGACATCGGACTTTTGTCGTACAACATATACTTACAGATAAATAAAATTGAAGTGTCCGTTTGTTATTTCAAAATAAAAGCATTCTACTAAATTCATATGAAATTATAGTACCTAGGCTACCGAGCTTCGTTCGGAGTTTTTGTCCTAAAGAACAATTTTCTTTTTAAACTAAAAACTTGAATAAATATAAAAATAACAAAAAAAAACAGAAGTATAAACTTTGAATCCGATCGACATTCGAACGTGGACGCCTGTGATTGTCGATCTTGCGCCTTGGCCGCTTGATCACTATGCTTATGCGAGATCATGCGAAATTACCAACCGTATTTTGTGTGGAGTAATGCGAAAGAAAACCACATGAAAACTCGAATCAGGCATTTTCTCAGACATAAGACTAATCTAGATCAATTTTTCATCCCCGAAAAGTCCCACATACCAAATTTCAGGAAAATCGTTAGAGCCGCTTCCGATATAATATACAAAGATTTAAGATAATATGGTATTTATAAGAAAAACACAATTTTTAACATTTTTTGTCTGTCTGTTTGTACTCCGAAACGGCTGGACCAATTTTGACGGACTTTCACTGGTAGATAGCTGATGTTATAAGAAATAACTTAAGCTACTTTTATTTTGGAAAAAGATTTAGGATCCGCTAAAAATACATAAAGTGCATTGCATTTATGATCTATTAATTTTAACCCCCGGCGCAAAAAGTGGGGAGGTAGACGTTTAACGTGTGTATCTGCGTGTCTGTGGTATCGTAGGGCCCAAACGAAAAAAAACGTGTTCACTTAACACGCGGCATAAGTGAAATCTTGAAAAAAGTAAAGTTAGCTTAACTGTCAGTTAATTTAACTATCAGTAAGTTTAACTGTCAGTTTTTTTAACTGTCAGTAAGGGAACTGTCAGTAAGATGAACAGTCAGCTTTATATCCGCCTAGTAAGTTTAACAGACACTTAATATAACTGTCGGTTAGTTTAACTGTCTGTTCGATTAACTATCAGTAAGTTCAACTGTCAATTTGATTCACTTTCAGTAACGTTAACTGTCAGTTTGATTCACGGCTAGATAGATTAACTGTCAGTTAGTTTAACTGTCAGTATAACCTCCAGTTAGTTAAACTGTCAGTAAGTTTAACTGTCCGTTAGATTAACAGTAAATTAGATTAACGGCTAGTTAGTTTAACTGTCCGTTAGTTTAACTGTCGGTTAGCTTAACTGTCGGTTAGCTTAACTGTCGGTTAGCTAAATGTCAGTTGGTTTAACTCTTAATTTGATTAACTGCCAGCTAGTTTAACTGCTAGTTAGTTTAACTGTTGTTTTGATTAACTGCTAGTTAGTTTAACAGACGTGTCTTCTTCGAATTTCTTCCTCGCCTGTCTTCTGTGTTTCTTTTAATGTCTCTTCTCTTCTCTTTCATCCATCAAATTATATATTAGTTACTAGCGGCTTACCCTCGCTTCGTTCGGGTTTCTAGACAATTAAAAACAAATCTATCCCACGGGAACCGTAGATTATTCCGGGATAAAAAGGAACCTATTTGTTATTATACTGTATGAACTAATACAATTTCATTAAAATCGAATCAGTAGTTTTTGTGTACTAAGCTGTATAAGTTACTATAGATTTTTAATTATCCCACGGGAACTCTTTAATTTTCCAAGAAAAAAGTATCTAAAATGTTGACCGGGGATATAAGGTACCACCATACAAAATTTCATTTAAATCGGTCCAACAGTTTCGGAGATTAGCCCGTACAAACAGACAAACAAACAGAGAAACAAAAAAATTAAAAAAATCGGAATCTAACCCGTTCCTGTTGGTGGTGACACACGGGCAGACAGACGGAGAGACGGACAAGATACTGATCTTATAAGGGTTTCGTTTTTACCTTTTGAGGTACGGAACCCGAAATTTATATTAATAAATTGTTATTAGAATTAGTACCTAACCAAGCAATTGATGCCAGTACGTCACATGTACACACCCACAATTTAGGGACGTCACTACATTAATTGAGAGATAAGCGTTAAATTTTTGTCTCCTTGACTGGGAGATAAACAAAATGTGAAAAAAGATATTTATATTTAAGTAAAAATTAAGTCCTACATTTTCAATATTAAATTTGTATCCTGCCTATTTTTAAATCAAGGAATTAGCGTTTAGTATGAACTAAACCGCAAAAGTATTGGAAATAGGACTCTAAACTTTTTACAGTATTTCACTATTTTCATAGTGAGGTTAATATATAAAAAAATTCAAACTCAAGTTTTAAAGTTAATTTATTTGATCATTGAGCATTTTGTAAAGCATGGTTACACTGTTAAAGCAAAAACAAATCTAACCCACGGGAACCGTACTTTTTTCCGGGATAGAAAGTAACTTATGTGTTATTCTGATGTATGAGCAATATTATTGCAAAGTTTCATCAAAATTCATTCAGTAGTTTTTGCGTGAAAGAGTAACAAACATACATACATACACTCTTACAAACTTTCGCGTTTATAATATTAGTAGGATTTCATAAAATATCACTTTAAAACAGTCCTTTTAGTCACCAGCATAATCATTTACCACTAGCGGCTAAAAAAAAATAATAAGTATAATAAAAAAAAAATAAGTATAATTAAAATAAGCAGAAGTATTTCATACAGTAAGTATAAAAAGTGTGGTGATATTACATCATAGAATTCCTTATTATTAATTTACAATGTAACATATTTTAATTCCACAATTGTTTAATAAAACATTATTAATTAATATTGTGTAAAGTAAAAGACAAACATAATTATTTCTTACCTTAAAATTAAGCTATATAAAAAAAACTTTTACTCTACTACGATTCTAGTTGTAGCACAGTCAAAGCTAACTTATTGTTTATTTAAAATAATATTCAGGAAAATTAATTAAGACCGATGAAGTTAGAAACACACGACATAACTTCGTGAACACAATTCAAAACTGAATCAAAGAGAATGTATAGTACGCGCCACGAAAGATGATATTTGACATACCACGTGGTTTAACTTGCGCATATGACGATTTATAGGTCTCTTTAGCGGTACGAGGTCTGAGGCGAGAAGGGATCGGGCGTAATCGGGGCGTCAAGAAGAGCGCGGGAGGCGCGGTACCGTGTTGCGCGCGCATGTGTGTTATTTGCCTACCGTTCTCCTCACCCCGTGCGCGCCCCACTTGACTCCGCAGTACAGAAGAGTACAACTTGTGTTTATCAATTTCTACTTTGTTGATAGTTGTGTTTTATAGGAGTGCAATTTTGTAAAAATTTTGATTATGCCTCGAGGTAAAACATTAAAAAGACAAAGTAGGAAGATGGTTTACGACGTGTATAGTTATATGTTAAAAGAAGCAAAGGAAGGTGTACAAAATTTGAAGCAGGTACAAATGCGTACAATGTGTATCATTTCGTAATAAATATTGTTAATAATTTAAATTTAACATTGCTATAGATATAGAAATAATTAATAAATTATAGATAACTATTTCGTACGCGAATGTACCTGCGCAGAATCCCCACTACTGACGTTCGTCAAGTCTCATCTTTCGTGGCGCGTATTATAACAAGCAATATTTTGTGCCGAAGGCACATATTATCTTCTGACTAATTAAGGTCCCGCCCACAGACCGGCAACACGACTGTATGTCATGGTAATAAGAGTTATAATTGAATGACCCGTACCTGTAGTTTCTCACTCCACTAGTACAATCACATGTCACGTTCTTATCTAAAGTTTTTATCTGTTACTATACTTTTCGAGTAGGATTGCACTGTATATCTATATTTTATAAAATATCGATATATGTAATCAAAATAATTAATTTAAATTATGTTTAAAAATTATTATTACCTTAAAATCTAATTAATTTAAAATAATTAAATATAATTAATTTTGACCTAAGGTATTGTTTCATGTAATAGTTTTTCATAGTTACTATAAATATTACAAAGGTATTTCCGATATATAAACCGGTAAACTTTGGCCATCGCTATAACAGTCAATATATAAATATTAAATAGGTATAATAATTCTATAGTTTACTCGGCTTCATGGCGATTTTAAGAAATGGCAAATTATGTATTTCTGTCTCTGTTCCTCTCGTTGAAAAGTCCATAAGAAGGACACGATCAGATATATTGTAAATGTTCAATTAAATACAGTTGCTTGTTATTGCTCGAAGATAGGGATGTTCCAGTAAAAAAAATATCGATATTTTTTTCGATATAATATATCGTATTGTTGTATTGATACTTTACGATATATCATATAAATATATCGATATTTTCGATATATCGAAAGTTATTTGTTTGTATTTAACTAGTCTGTAATATTAGATAGAGATCAGGTTAATATGAGTAAAAACAGTTAGTGAAGAAAGAAAACATTTTATTTATTTATTAATCCCAATACTTTTTCTCTAGACCTTGTAAAAACAAAATTTTACGAACTCTTTTGGTTTGCAGGCTGTTTCTCTGCCGAGTTAAAATAGCAGTTTTTATATATCGTTATACACACTAACTGTATTTAAATTTCGTAAACTGTATTAAACAATACAGACAACTATTATTTATACTTTATAGATTATTTTGTAATTTGTACTGAGAAGTGAATATATTATAGCGGCATAAACGTAGCGAGCCAACTTAGCTACAGCTAAATTAATTCAACATATTATACATTTTTAGAAGTTTATTAGTTTTGTGGTGCTGGATTTGGCTTAACTGTACATTAAATGACATCGAGTTGAGACTTCATATTTTTTCTCTGAGAGATCTATCTATTAGAAGCCTATATATAAAGTTGAGACCGCGGAAACAAATACTTTTGACAAAAATTTTTTTTGAAGTTTCAACTTTTTACGTAATTTTACCAAATTTATACATGAACTTATCGATGTATAAGCTTAGCTATGTATTTGATAAAGAAGCTACAATAAGTCAGATATAATGAAATTCAACGATAGAGGGTCAAAAAAGGCTTTTTTTCGTAATTTTATTCAAGTAATCTCGTAGTCAGTATCTTTGTATAGTCTGTCTTTGTTGGTGGACTGTATTATATTTTCTATTATCTGTGGTTGTCACTTTCAGAGAGTTTTCAGTTTTCCCAAGATTTTCACGATTTTTTTCAGCCATCTCATTCTATTTTAGGACGAATGAGTGATAAAAGATTCTTGAAATTATCCGTTAATTCGTGTTAGTAATGAGTTTTGTCATAAAATATACGATGTCGGTATGAAATTCTATGAATAGTGCGGAGGTTCGTGTACGGGATTAAATCGACAGCGTTCAATAATATGCAATGGAAATACAAGAGTTTGAAGGGACGATGGCTGTGGGTCTTGTTTTTTTTGATATTGCTACCGATTCTCGTAGCCCAAAAAATCGGTGACCCTTATAAAATACTTGGTATTCACCGAAGAGCATCCCTCACTGAAATACGTAAAGCTTATAGGCAGCTTGCTAAAGAATGGTATGCGTAAAGAACTTCATTGTTTTTAAGAATACAATATGATCATAATATTAGCTTTTCCTTTGAATTAGTATAAGTCACAGGTTACATTTGAATATATTGCATGTAAAAACATTAAACAAGTTGTAATAAGCAAGTTTTAATTCAAAAGAAAGCTAATTTGATCCCAAGTTATTTATAATATTTTAAATATAAGGTTATAATACTTTCTTTCTTTTTTCCATATATGTATAAACAATTTGAATGTTTAAATTTGTTAAGGAATTTTAGTCACATTTATGAATGTTCAAAATGTTAATTAAAAAATTGAAGATATATTGATTAAAACTCGGATTAAACTATAGGCATCCAGATAAAAACGAAGACCCAAATGCAGAGGCTAGATTTGTGGAAATCAAACAAGCATATGAGTTACTATCAGACACAGAGCGTAGACAAGCATATGACTTGTATGGTATAACCAATGAAGATGATCACATGTATAAACAAAGGCATGATTATAGTCAATATGCAAGATTTAGGTAGGTAATCATCTATTTATGAGTTTGATATTTTTTTATTCTAGATTGTTAAATTTTTTCATTTCATAATTTTAAACAAATGCTATAAATATAAGTACATAAAATATTTTGTTTTGATAAATAATAATTCAAATTCAAAATATTTTTAAATTCACCATTAAATTATTACAATAAACTGTATAACTGCATTTGTGTTTATAAATTTATTTTTATATTTATTACAGTAATGATCCTTTTGAATACTTTAGTACACACTTCAGAACACAAGACCAAGATATAACACTGTTCCATAAGCTGTCAGTCACTGCAAGGTATTGTACAAGTGGTATAAGTGATTTAAAAAAAAACAATAAGTTTGAACAATGCGAAAGCTATTAAAACTCCATTTCATTGAATTATATTTGTTTGTATTATTATTATGAAATATGAAAAGAAACATATACAAATATATATAATATATGTTTCTTAATTATTCTGCAAATAAATTTTCAGGAGTCCTTACCAATTTTCAGTAGCACTTTTAAAAAGATAAGGTTTAATGTCTTTTTTATACATTAAAAATTTTTTAAAGTTCTTGTTTAAGTGCTTGTAAATAATTGAAAGCATTCATAATTCATTCATTGACTTATATATTAATACGAACTCGTTTTTGCAGGCATTTTGAAAACAACATCCTTGAAAAGAGTGTCCACACACCAGCTCTAGTTTTATTCTACACAGACTGGTGTTTTGACTGTGTCAGATCAGCTACTTCTTGGAGGCGTCTGGTTGAAGCCCTACAACCATTAGGGGTTACCATGGCAACGGTTCATGCGGGACATGAGGCAAGCTTGGCGAGACGAATTGGTGTTCATGGGGTCCCATGTTTGACCTTAATATTGGATAAGCAAGTATATATTTATAAGGAGGGATTGTCTTCTTTGCCTAAGATATTGGGTGAGTGAATATAATGATAATGTTCTCTTAATCTATATATATATATATATATATATATGTTGTGTTATCCATATACTACGAACATCATCTTTAGTGGTTACTCATCTTGTGGGCGTTATCAGGGCTCAAATAATAAAGTATTTAGTGCTCAATACACAATTTAATCAGGGAAGTCACAATGTTATAAACTTGAAACGGTAATTCTAATGATTTAGAGCTAGCGGGTTCACAGTCACCGATCATCGACTTCCAACTACATTAGCAAAAGTATGATCCACCATAGTCAACCGAGTTTACTAAACCACGTATCTGCAAAGAATGTTGTGATGGCGTCTCGACCCCGCTCGAGACTAAATCTCTGCTCTAAATTCAAAAGCAATAAAAAGTAAATTAAAGAACATAGTGACTTTAAACAATGATAAGGTTTCATAACAGAAAAAGGTAACTAAATCCTCCTCCGTCTTATATATATATATATATAAAACAAAGTCAGGTTTGTTACAAAGATTAAAACTCAAGAACGGCTGGACCGATTTTTATGATCTTTATTTTGTTGGATTTGTCTTCACCCCGAGTAGCAGCATAACTGTTAAAACATCAAAAAAATCACAAAAAAACATATTTAAAAAAAAAATCTATTTCATAATAAGCATCAAAATGTATTTAGGGACAAACTATTTAAATAAATTTCAATACCTATTTCTTTCTTGTGGAGGTTATCTACATTAATACCATAAAATATAGGCGATGTTATAAGTTTTAATATATTTTTTCTCAAACTATTGTTTTGATTATGAAAATGTTTTCCCTAATAGGAAGCTACATTACTAACAAGTGTTAGAGGCTATTTCTTATGCTGATTAACATGTGTTTACTATCAGAAATCATGTATTTAACACCTCCAGGTAAATTTCTAAGAAATTAATTAAATTTCTAAGAAATCTATTGTTAACTGTAACGCCCGGCGTGTCCGCGGTCGTGGAGGGAGTAATATGTGACATTTGTGAAGTAATCTGTGCTCAACTGGCACACTTTGAGGACGTATACAAAAGAATTCGATTGAAACAAAGTATTATTTCTCGAAAGATATGTGAAGTCCACCAAGCTATACTTCGCTAAATTGGTGGAGTATCTGATTCTTTTCGCATTGAAAAATAGCTCGTTTATAGTTAAGAAGGGCAGAATTATTATTAAAATATAGTAAATTATATTCATATTTTATGTCTTTGCCCATATTTAATTTTCAGAGTTCATCCGTTGGAAGTTCCCATACAAGCTGGTTCGCAGTCTAACAGACAGTAACGTGGACGCGTTTGTGAGCGACTTCGAAGATAACAAAGTGAAGGCTCTGATATTTGAAGAGAGACAGAATATGCGACTGCGTTATTTGATCACTGCCTTCCATTATAGAGATAGAGTGTCCTTTGCGTAAGTTGTTTGTTTTGATTAAAATAGAAACACATTGTGATTGAATGTAGCGATTGTCATAACTTGTCTTTTTATAGCTGCAGAAAACAAATGCTGTTTAAAATATTTGTTTACATAAATACATAAGTCTACACTACTATTATAAAGAGGAAAAATTTGTCTTTTTGTATGTTTGTAAAGAATAAACTCAAAAACTACCAATTTAGATGTTTGGTAAGAAGTTATCTTGAGATCCTGTGAAGGATATAGTCTATTTTTTATTCCGGAATCCCTTAGGGGGTGTAAAATGGGATTAAAAGTTCGTATTGGGAATCAGATAGGTATAGTATAGGTAGGTAGTATACAAGTATATATTATAATATAATAGTAATATCTAAAAATTTCTCTGTGCATAGAATAGAGAGCTTAAGTAAAGAGAACTAAGCATTGTGATGTGTTGATTTTCTATTCAAACTTACCTATAAAACTCCAAGTATTTGAAATTTAATTTATCCTTTATAATATGCATATAATTTGTTATTTAACATTTAAAAAAAGAAGTTTTCAATGCCTGATACCCTTCAAATATAAGGGAGGCCCGTGTCCAGCTATGGGGCTTTTAAAAGGACTGGATACATACATATATACATAAAGCTTAGTCTCTATAGGCAGCGCTGGATTTATACTAGTTGCATTCGGGGCGACAAAATTCAGAGGGCGGAATTTTTTTTTTAAAATGCTTTTTTTTATTTTACAAAAAATGAAAAATAAACAAAAAATAACTAGTAGGTACATTTTTCGAAAAATTAATATCATTTTCAAATTAATTTTCTGAATTTTTCGGAAAATTCATTATTGAAATAAAATTATCTTTATCGAAACTTTACCCATTTTATGCGAAATTTCGATAATGGGGCGGCTTTTTTTATTATGCCCAGGGGCGGCGCCAAGGTTAAATCTGGCACTGTGTATAGGAATACTTACTCATTTGATATTTTTGACTGATTTGTTGAATTTCCAGATTTGTTGACATAACCGCCTACAACACGCAGAACGTGTCAGCTCGATACAAAGTGCAGAGAAGTATGGACACGATGGTGTTACTCAAAGAGGATAGTACGGAGCCGGCGGCAACGGTCAGCACTACAGAGATACCCACGCAGACGCTGAGGCAGTTGATTGAAGCCAACCAGATGTTGACTTTGCCGAGGTTGTCTTCTCAGGTGGGCTCTTAGTTTATGTTTATTTGTTTGTCTTTTTAGCTTATTTGTTATCTGTTTTTAATTTTAACGTTGGGTTTACCTTTGTTGGTTAAATGATTAGTAATATTGTACTTTTTAATGGTGAGGTTGAAGTGTAGAATCCAAATACACAACTATTTTTGCAAATAAAAATGTTTATTTTTCATTTTTTTCTTAGAATTATCAACAAAAGTTACAATAAATCGCATTCAAAAAATCAAAATCCTGATGTTTGCACTTGTAATTACAAATTAAAAGAAATTAAAATGACAACGGAATACTAAACTCATAAGTGATTCATCAAGTGTATAATTTATACTCTCTCACTCACTCACTCTCACTTCGCTATAAGTACCGTTTAAAATTCCATATGGATTTAGTAAAAAGCTGTTATTTTGACATTTCAAACAGACACTTCAATTTTATTTATCTGTACTCGTATGTATAGATGTGACGTATGGGTACGGAGTTTACGTGAAATGTGAGGTTTGTGACATGCGCAGAGCGTGCTGGACGCGGTGTGCCCGGTGGAGTGGCGCGCGGCGCGGCGGCGGCTGTGCTGCGTGCTGATCGCGCGCGCGGGCGGCGGCGGGCGCGGCGCGGCGGCGCTGCGGGCGCTGGCGCGGCGCGCGCCCGAGCGCCTACGCTACGCGTACGTGTACGCGCACGCGCAGCCGGACTTCGTGGGCGCGCTTGCTAACGGCTCCGGTTAGTGCTACCTTATCACATTAAACTATTGACACTGAACTGCCTCGGTGGTGTAGTGGCTAGCATGTACGGCTGCACACTCGGAGGTCCTGGGTTCGAGTCCCGGGTCGGGCCAAGTTTAGTTATTGAGTCTTTCTGTATAGTAAGTCTCAGTAACAGCCCGGAGTTGGGAAGTTGGCGGTGTTTCACCCCCGTTCCTTGGAGAGCACGTAAAGCCGTCGGTCCTGCGCCTTAACTCTCACTGGTCGTGTCGAGCAGTCGTCCCACCAGAATATGAGAGTGACAGGAATAGAGAATGCACTTGTGTCTGCACGTACATTTGTGCACTATAATATCTCCTGCGCAGTTGGCTAGTCTCAATGAGATTGGCCGCCGTGGCCGGAATCGGCTAGGAGAACATCATCATCATCATCACATTAAAAGTTCCAAATCTACACGATACGGCACGTTCTGATATAACGCTGGATATTTTTGTTAAATTTAGCACAGACATAGGTTATAGTCTGGAATAGCACATAGGTTTTTTTTTATCCTGGAAAAATGTACGGTCCACTTGAAATAGATTTGTTTTTCAAGAGGGACGAATCCGATCGAAGCGAGATTGAATAGCTAGTATACTATATATAACACAAAAATATAGTCAACGTTTTATTTGTGCATTTGGATTACGAAAGACTTTTGACATTATCAAAATCTAGATTCTAATAAAATTAATACACCAATGGCTTATTTATTACTTCCTAATACAATCATGAAATCACCTCGATAATATTAAATAACTTTAATGATACCCAGAATTTACATGTTTACAATGTTTCAAATCAATCTGACAAATTATTAGAAGTACATGAAATTCGACTTCTAAAATTTAATTAAACTATTAAAGACTTACAATGAGATCGTGTTAAAGAATATAGCGATCCTTATAGGTAATGATGATTTGATAATATCCATGTCACTTTTTTCTTATCTAATAAACTAGGGGTTTATCTAACCTTAACTGGATGGAGTGCTTTCTTACTTGCCTGACAGTATCCAGCTAGGTCACAGTCTATTTATGTATAAATTTAATCTAAATTCGTCCAGCCATTTCAACATGAAGGACTAACATACTAATTTTCGCATTTACTATGATTATGATAGTCCGATAATCTATTACAGGTATCGATATATCGACTGTAGAACACCGTATAGTAGTGATCTGGAGAAGAGAAACATCTAGGATCCAGTATGAATGGCTCAACGAGACCTGGCCCACCTGCAACCACTGCCCTGACGAGGATGAGGCGAGGGATGAAGAAGCTATCAGATACCACGAGAGACTAAATGAGACTAAGCGAGCTTTGGAACAGTTGGTGAAGAGGCTGCTTAAACCTACTGAGGTTGTGGCTTATGAGACTCGGATACAGGTTAGATTAAATATTCGTATAAATATTAGTGTATTAATAATTCCAATATTTATAATAACTATGTTTGCTCAGTAGTTGAACGCAGTATTTGAATTTCGAAAATTATTATTTTTGATGTTTTTTGTATTGTCAACACCAAAGTAAAGTCATCTTACATAATCGGTTGGGTCAATGTCCAAAATTGTCCTGACGTAATTAATGAACGAATTTAACATACATGCTATATACATAGACTCAAAGTCATATTCATAAAAAGTATATTTACGATGTACGGAACCCTTCGTGTGCTTTTCCGTTTTTTCAAATTGTATACGTGTGGTGTGTGCGTGTGTGTGGTGCGCAGGAGCTGTGCGACGAGGCGGCGCTGGCGGCGTGGTGGCGCGCGGCGCTGCGGCTGGCGGAGGCGGCGGAGCGCGCGCTGGCGGCGCTGCGCTCGGCGCACGCGCTCTCCGCGCTCTCCGTGCTGGCCACCGTGGCCGGCGTGCTCGCCGCCGGCTACTTCATGGCGTACCTCATGTATGTATACCACATATATGTACATACCTTGTGTAATGTGTACTTAGATAATAATACTTTCTGTTATTAGGGTTCCGTACCTCAAAAAGAACAAAAATGAAACCCTTATAGGATCACTTTGTTGTCCATCCGTCCGTCTGTCTGTCAAAACTCTTTATCTCGGGAACGTGTGGAGGTATCGAGTTGAAATTAAAACGATATGCTACAGTATCTTGAAGCTGTTAAAAATCAGACTTCTAAGTAAACATAAAAAAAGATATGGCCGTTTATGCCGCAAAAAAAAAGTATATTTCGACACTCAAGGGAATCAAAATTTATGGGGTATATTCCTAGAACTATCAAATTTAGCAAGTAATACCGTCTTACACTACAAGCATAGGGGAAAATCTGAAAACTAAACATTTGTAATTAAATCATAAAAAACAGGGTCTTTATGCAAAGAACGGTGGTGGACCACCATTGTGAATTAAATTAACCGTGTCATGTGCAAGGCGAGTCCAACTCGCACTTGTCCGGGTTTTTTTTAATTTTTGGTTCTTAACGTTTTGGATGCTATAAATTTATTTTAATTTTTTTATGCTACAAAACTTTCTGTATCATGAGTATGAGTGAGACTCGCATTTGTGCGTTTTTTAATGTTTCTATTCTCATATAACACGTGTTCTTCGACCACGCACCATCGACATGGTTATAGAATATACTGTGTATCTTTGATTTTTAATATTAATTATTTTCTATACACATAAAAGTGAAATACCAATTACTAATCGCAGACAAACGCTAATATAGACATATTATAATAAAATTAGTAGTAGTAAGTAACACCGAAATCTATATATGAAATCTTTAAAAAAAACTTTCGTAATTAATCGGACCAAAAATCCCAAAACAATACTCATTAAATTTTTTGCCTGTTTGTCTGTCTGTATATCTGTGTTTTTGCATTTCACGCAAAAATTACTGAACCTATTTGAACTGTAGTGATAACTTATTACTTGGGTCAAAATTTAGGATACCTTTTACTACAGGAATATCCTTCATTCTCACAGGAAAGCACAATAATTGGTTCTGTCGGGTCGTTCTTAGACATTGACATGGCTAATGCTGGCTAATCTATACTTCTATACTAATATTATAAAAAGGACAAATTTATTTGTTTGTTTGTACCGAACAAGCTCTGAAACTACTGATCCGATTTAGATGAAATTTTGTAAGAAGGTAGTTGGAAATCATTCCTTAATGGGGTAAAAAAAGAGATGAAAATTTGGATGGAGAAGCAACCTAGTTCCTAATAAAGCTTTACTTAACCAAATGTTCTATTCACAGACGTATAGAGGAGGAATCGGTGCAGCGGCAGAAGGAGGAACGTCGCAGACAGAACGGCACCAAGCGCAACAACAACGAACCGCAGCCGGAGATGAGGCTGCACGAGCTGCGGACTGAGAAATATAACGGATTGGTCAGGTTGGAACCGGCATATTTGGTTTTGTTGACCTATTTTAGGGGCCCTCCATTAATTTTCATTATAGACCCTTTCCCCCATTCCTAAGGGAGATTTGGTGAGACTCGATTTTTGCATTTTATACTATACTAGCAATGCCCGCGGCTCCGCCCGCGTTCAGGTGACCAAAAACCAAATTCTTAGGTTTTACATATTAGTACACTCGTATATTGCAATTTTTGTATTTTTTCTCAGAAATGAGACATTTTTGCGCGGTAAAAAGTATCCTATATGTTGCCCCAAATAACCACCTATCACCATACCAAATATTATCAAAATCCCTCCAGAGGTTTTTCTGTGATGCGGTAACAGACAGACAGACAGACAAAAATTCTAAAAACTATAGATTCGGCCTCTGTATCGATAATAATGTTTATTTCAATAAGATTTTCAAAAAAATATTTAATGTACAGATTCGGCTTAGTTACAATTCTATTATATGTATAGATTTATTGAAAGGCTCGATATAATAAATACAATAAAGCGCCTTATGCTAAAGGCAATAGGGTCGACGATAAAAAATCTGGCGTCGACACAAATTACATAATATATCTGATGATGTGAGCTGATTTTTTTTATAGATTGCAGAAACCAGGCTGTCGCACGATTGTTTTGTTGGTGGACGTGCAGAGTCGTGTGCAGTTGTTGTCGAAATTCCACAAGATTGTTTGGCCTTATCGCAAGTGAGTTTTAATAAAACGTTATATTATATTTTGTTTGTTATGACTTCATAGAACTAGATCTGAGTTAGCTAAACTTTATTTCAAAACAAAAACCAGTTTTCACGGCGGTGCTAGATTTTATAAAATTTAAAATAGTAAAGTAAGACAAGGATCATCACTATGTTGGGAAATGATTCGCATATGAAAATATCATAGGCGAGATCCGGGATTTGAACCCGCTTCACTCGATATCCCGAGCGCGTTGCCGCTGAGGCATCACTGCCTGTGTAGTGTGTGCTGTATGTGTCGCGTGTGGTGCAGGAACAAGACGCTGACGTTCGCGTACCTGTGCGTGGAGCGCAATGTGGCGTGGTTCCAGCGCGTGCTGCAGCTGTCGCTGGGCGGCGGCGAGCTCCGTGTGAACGCGCGCAACTGCGTGGGCACCGTGCTCGCGCTCAACCCGCACCGCAAGTACTTCTGCATCTATCACGCCAAGCACCCGGAGTGCGCCAAGCCCCACAAGGTGACACACGGAATGGGAGGATGATTAGGCTGTGTTAAATTATTATGCTTTTTTTTTAATATATAAGTCTAGTTTAAAAGAGATTTCTCCAAAAACTGTATCATGTTTTGGCTAGTTTTTGTTTTTTTTTTTGCATCGAATTATTACAATTTTTGTTATATATGAATGAATGTACTAGTCAGTTAGCTTAGAAAGCCTTAGTTCTGAGAACTGGTGAAAGGGCGAGACTAAAACCCTACTGATATTATTAGAGCTGTAGCAAACCCACAGAAATCTTAATAATAAGCTAATAGAAGTGGCATAGACGCGTGACCTTGTCGCCGCGCATGTGACTCGTAGGTCACAAGCGCGTGTAAAGCGTTTGTTGCGGTAACTAGTGTTATTTGAGACACGGAGAGGTAAACATGGTGTTTTGCAGCATATCCAACTGCGGAAATTCTTCCACAATTTGTAACTTTACAAATAAAGGGATAACATTTCATATGTAAGTACTTAATTTTTGAAATAATGTCGTTTTTAAGAAATATAGCCAAATCAAATGTTTTCACCACCACTACTACGATTATCGCAGGAAAACGTTTTTTTTTTCAATTCAATAACCATTACCACTTAAGCTTGTTCATGTCTACTATTACAACTGCTAAAAGCAGCAATGAAATAATAGTCATGCGTAAAGAACAATATTGTCGCGTACGTAAATTCCAAGGACACGCCGCATAAGTTAGCCGCGAATTAGTGACGTGCCACCACAATTTTTTATCGAAAATTTATTACGTTTGGCTTAATATTTTTCGTTAAATATTTAATTGTTACATCTCATTATGTATGTTTTCTTTCTGTCTGAATAATTTATAAAAAGTCATTTATCAACGATTATCTGTAAATTCGTACTTTTAAACTACTTTTTCATTCAGAAAATTATTAGGAGGTAGGCTTATTATTGTTATGTATATGGGTAAGTCAAAAACAGTATGCGTTGAATATCCTTGTATCGTTGACATGTTCCGCATTTACCAAATATTTTTTTTGATTTGATTTGATTGAGTAAATAATTCTAAGGGCGAGTTGTTTGATAAACATAACATAGAAATTCTATAAAAAAATTTAAGTCATTAGTTAAAAATGTATAGGATTTTAACAAATAGTTTGCATAACTTTTGTATAATAATAATAATAATAATAATATTTATTGCAAAGGTATACACCCAATTTAGAATATAATAACATATATGTAGTTATACAAGTCAATTTTTATATCACTTATGCATATATATGCAAGTCAATAAAAACATTATAAAAACAAAATTCAGTCAGACTCTTCATTAAATTAAACAAGAATTAAAAACAATATATCGCTGTTGAGTATATAGTAGTTGTTGAGTGTATAACTTAATATAATAATAAAAAAAATTACTTACTTTTAACGTTTTATTGTATTCCCTTTATGAAAATAAATAAATCGTCTAAAATCGCGTCGAGGAATGAAACATAAAACACTTTCAATAAATTAGATACCTATTGTTGCAAGACTCAACGGAAAATTATCGATATGAGCATTATGCGCTTTGTACTGCACTAGAAGTGAGCGCGCGATATCATTCTGTGCTTTTCGCACACGTTTATTATTGGTCACAGGGATCACGGGTCATCGCTTAAAGTTTAATTTTTGTTGCAACAATGCAAAATGCATGTGTGAGCGATAGTGTGTATTTATTGTTTGTCAATGTGTTGGTAGCTGCAAGCCGGCGACACGCGTCCCAGTACTAAAAGACCGCAATGGCATTTCTATTACCTTATTATTAAGATTTCTGTGAGCAAACCGTATGTATTCGTTACTGAGTAACGGGTACGCCATCTAGTACCGAGTACCGAAACGTTACTCACGAATGCATTTCGTTACTCGCATTTTACGTACATATTTTCGTACTAATGTTTTTATTGATTTTTTATCCAGCAAAATACAACTTTCAGTTAATACTTAATACCATTGATGAGTAAATTAGAGAGTTTATTTATTTATTTCGAGTTGCATGATTTCCAGATCTTAAAAATTTTGTTTAGAAACAATTTTCAATTAGAAACAACTTATAACAAATTACATTTAGAACACATTTTTAGTTTTTTATCCAACAAATACTTATAATTTTTACTAAATGATTATGTCAAATGAAATCAAAATATACTTTATTCAAATAAACTTTTACAAGCTCTTTTGAATCGTCAATTTTACATTTTAAATTAAAATTAAATGTTAGTCCGTTAGGAACTACCGCCGGCTCGGAATAAAGTTTTCTGCTGAGAAGAACCGGCGAGAAACTCAACAACGGCTCTTTTAAAATAATATTTGTGTACAATATTGTAATACAATTATTATCTATTTATCCTACGTGAGACATGATCATGTGATTATGTGTAATACATACAGATTATGATTTGATAAATCATTCGCGCAATTGATTTTAAATAAAATATGCTAATGCATATGCGACGTTACACTAACGTGATAGATGCCGTTACTTATTCATTTTTAAATTACCTATTTTTATATTTATTATTTAATTTCAAAAATTATTAATAAAAAAATATTGTTAGTAAAGTTTTTAAAAATTATATAGATTTATAAATAATCAAAATTTACGGGTTCTGGATATCATGTAACTCTCCAATTGAAATGGTTTGTTGATCGTGCATTATTCCACAGAAAACAACGCGACGTCAACGTTATACGGTATAACGTATAATTTATACCGTACGCAATACATACGCAACACGACTCGATACGATGCTCTACGAGTATGTTATCGGGTATCAAAAGTAACGAGTAACGATTCAAAAGTAACGAGTACTGATGCTATAGTAACGAATGCATACGGGTACGCTATTTGTCGTTACTTTTACACCTTGAGATATTATACATGTGAATGTATACATGTATGGGTTTTCGTTACTCTATCACGCAATAACTTCTGAATGGATTTTAATGAAACTTTACAATCATACATGATTCATTTCATACATCAGAATAACACGTAGGGTAATTTTTATCCCGGAAAAATATGCGGTTCCCGTGGGATAGATTTGTTGTTGTTTTTCTAGAGGCGAACCCGAGCGAGTCGCTAGTCAAAAAATAATTACATAAAACAGCCGTAGACGACAATATTTATAAGAATGTGGTAACATTGTGTTTGTTTGTCAGCGCATGAGCCGCATGACGGTCTCGCTGGGCGGGCGCGCCGCCGATCCCGAGGCGGGCGCCTTCATCGGCTTCACCACCGACCCCGACTCCTCCGACGACGACCGCTACGAGCCGCCGCTGCTCTTGCAAGGTGACATGCATATACACGCACAGACACATACACACACACACACGCACGCGAGTACACACACATACACACACGCACACACACACACACACACACACACACACACACACACACACACACACACTACACATACTGAGTACATACACATGGACAAAACTTATTTATGTACAGCGCTGGATTTACACTAGCAGCGATGGGCATTTGGGGCTAATGCCCAGGGCGGCAAAATTCGAGTGGCGGAAAAAAAAATGTTCGCGTTATCGAAAATGCTTTTTTTACTATCCAAAAAATAAAAAATAAAAAAAGATTAACTAGTAGGTAAATTTTTCAAAAAATTGATATCATTTATAATTTTTTTTTGTGCATTTAAAAAAAAAATAATAATTAAAAAAAAAACTTTGTTGAAACTTTACACATTTTATGAAAAAAATCGATAATAGGGCGGTCTTTTCTTACTATGCGCTAAGGTTAAATCTGGCCCAGTGTATGTACAATATACATACATGTTTATATACACACACTGAGTAGATACTGGTATATAACCTTAAACTTAGATGACTTACAGCATAGAAATTGAGTTGTTGACATCATAATCGATTGATATACTTTTTATGAGCTGTCAAAATGCGACTCCAACAAGACTAAGGGCAATCTTTGACGTCAGTAGTTTGCCAACTCGATTAACTGTTTTTTTTTTTCAAAAAATGCTGTTTTATCATCAAGAAATACAGTAGATATGTTATAAAAGACTGCTCCATTTTGAAATATCGCATGAATATAAGAATTTGTACCACAAATCATACAATTCTATTCTACCTTTGTTTTTTTTTTACAGAAAATCTTCTAGACGGTCTAGAAAACTGGCTAGACAGATTGTTCGAGGGAAGCACCCATCGATACTACGTCAACTACTGGCCCGATATGACGTCGAAGTGAACATACATATATGTAAACTCTTTGATCTTTTTAATATTGATTTTTTTATTTGGGCTGTTAAAATGTCAGTCTTAGCCTTACTTTTGACATTTTCAAATATGTCAATGTCGAAGATGATTGTTCAGACTGTAATCATAACAGAGAAATATATTGACTCTACTTCTCTATTTTTGTTTAATAATATTTGATGGAAAGGAATGGAGAGGGTCAATTTTATCATGTTTTTGTTGTTCCTTTTGGACTATATGGCTATGTGTTAATGTCGATTTTTTATATAACAACTGTTTATAAGCCAATATTTTTATCTAGCTTTGATTTAAAGAGCCAAGGGCACTTTTTTATAGTTTTTAGATTCTATTATTTCGAGCTGACAAACGTAACGTTTTAAATCACATATATCTGTATGTTAAACAATATACTGCCCTGATTATAATATTAAGATTTTCTCGACCACTTAAATGATAGGATGGATTTGACATATATTGATATAAAATGTTATTAAATATATATAATAATTCTTATTGACATATACTTTCTCGAAAATTAGCCAAACAATTAAAAATAACTTTAATGAATTTTATAGATTTCTTTGACTTCCTTTATATGTTATATACTATTTCATGCAAGTTACATACATATAATATTAAAAAAATTTGTAACATATATTATGTTGTTGTACGTACTAAGGTTTTGTATACTTTAAAAAAACATACATATATACAATAAATGTCAAACGAGTAAGTAATAGTGCCTATCGTATTAAATAGTTGAACTGATAGTCTCACGTAGACGCTTTAGCAGGTAGCTAATGTAGTAAATAATTAATAAATAATTTTTAACTATTTCCCTGGATATGTGGCACTTAATTATTTATCTGTAATTGTTTTTTTTCAAATATTTTTTATTATCTGTGCTATGTATGTGATTGACATAATTTTGTAATTTGATTTTGTTTTTGATAGATTTTTTTTCGTTTCAATTTCAAATTGAAGGATAAATAATAATAATAATAATAAATTTCAGTGTACGCCAACAAAAATATAATTAAATACATACAGAAAAGATAGATAATGCACAAGAGGCGGCCTTATCGCTAAACAGCGATCTCTTCCAGGCAACCTTTAGAAGTAGGAAGTAGCAAACTTCAAGGAAATAGTAACTGAAGGGGTGCTAATAATAGAGTTATATAACTATACTTATAAAAAAAATTGAATATAAAAAAAGAAGATATAAACATATTTTTTTATATAATTCTTGTGCCACTGTCCAGTATAAGTAATATTCACATTTTTATAAAAGGTAGGTGTAGTTAGGTCACAAGTTCACAGCTAGTCATATATCTACAGTATTAAACGCACCATAGATGGTTACGACAATAATAAGTAACGTTATGCCATAGACATTTGGATTTTAATACAAATATAATTATTTTTTTTATAATTCATTTGATGATAAAAATAATGTATGATTTATAGCTCTCGCTAATACAACAAGTTTTTCTAGTAAAATGGTAAGTTTCTTATAAAAAATCTAAACATCAAAATTAATCATTAAAAAAAACGCAAATAATATTGTTTTTGCAAATATGTCATTGTCAACAGCTATCAATTGTCATGTAATTGCAAACAAATGTCTTTTCTTCGTGACATTGACGAAGTAATCTGTGCTCAACAAGAAAAATTTGAACAAATGTCTATGGCAAAACCGATGTTATATAAAATTACGGATTTTAACTATATACCTTTTCCATAGGTTATATCGCTTCAAACATTGCTCTCTAAACGCTGAAACCGCGTATTTTATGGTAATATTTTTAAATATTAATATGAAATTAAAGAAATGAGTGCCTCATCTTAGTTCATTTCACTGTTTAAGCATTTTTGTTTAGAGATGAAAATTAAAAAAAAACGTTTATTATTACAGTTGTTAAGTTAAATTAAATGTTAGTTTTCTTAAAAAAGGTTTTAAAAGGAAATGAAATATATATGTATTATGAATAAACAATGGTTATGATGATTAATCTTTTTTTTATGTAATTAAATGTTAGTATCTGATATATTATTATTAAATTAATTTTAAATTAGATAAATATAAAATTTTATTAGACCTTATAATGGTCTGGTCATAGCTTTGAAAAAATTATATAGCCCCAAGTTATATTTAAATTTTACTCTGTATTAAATGTCTTTGCCGCCATTTTCATAACCTTTCATTTGATAAATATTTTGAATCTAGAAATGTGTTATATTTAAAAAGTATGAAAACGTTAATTGTTTGTGCGTTCTGTGTATACAAAAGCATATTCGTTGTTTTATGGATTGAACAAGTTGATGTTTTATTAGCATCGGTCAAAAAAGTACTAGATACTCAATCTCATGCAAAAGTTCTCTTAAAACTGTCACCAATTTTGTTTAGGAGATTATTCTAGTTGAAATAAATATATAACAATGTAAATTGAACCTTAAATGCAATGCTCAAAGTTGTTTTCACCAAAAAAATGTTAAAAGCGCGCTCAAATGTTCAAATGAACACTCATTAGGTGAGGACGTCTTTGTAGCTGATCGTGTATCTAGTAATTTTTTGATCGATGTTTACTAGTCAATAATTTACCAAATGTATGTTTACGTTTTAAATAACATAGACATTATAGATTGCGAACAATATTTTGTTTGATCTTGTTTTTTTTATCAATTTGTACAGATTGCATATTTTTGGGTCTTGAATAGTTTTAAATAAATCTAATAATCTCTTTTTCTCAAAATGGGCTCATGATATAATAATGTTTAATTTAAAATTGAATTAAGCCTATACAAGGTTAATCTATTTATTATTTAGCATAATTTTAACAAGTGCCAATTTATAAATATGATTTTCTTTTTTTGCATTCTATATGTCTATGGTTTTATAGATACGTAAATATATTTGTGATGGTGCCCATATGTTGCTATTAAGCAGCAGGATCCAGAAAATCCCATTATCCTCTCTCTTTTAGTCACCAAATATTTTAATAAGTGCTAAATTCAAATACATCTTAGTGAAGCCACCGACTTTTTGGTGGGTTTTTGAACAGTTATTTCTTGCTTACAGCTGAATTTGGACTTTCTCACTTATCCCCCTTAGACGGTTCTTCTTCTACCCTCCATATTGAGATCTATTTCAGTAACCATATATTATTTGAAAATGGCGTAATATAACATGTGTTGGACAAAATGGATCCTGTTGCATTTGTTTAAAGAAAGTTATCCTACAATGTTCTTTGTACATATTAGTTATTCTATTTAAATATGTAAATTACTCTTAAGTTCATGCCAGTGTTGCCATATAATTTAAATGCATGCATATAATTGATATGTTGTGAGCTATAGTTTCTAAAGATTTTTAAATATAGACTAAATAAATATTTGATATTGTTTTGTATTAAATAATTGCATAGCAGCCAGTTTATGTGGGATCATTTATAAATAAAAATTATAACGTCCTCCTTATCGATTTCGGCGACGGCGGCCAATAACACTGAGACAAGCCAGATGTGCAGGAGATATTATAGTGCAGTCTGTGTGCGCGCAGACATAGTGCACTCTCTATTCCTGTCACTCTCATACTCCGGTGGACGACACGATACGACCGGTGAGAATTAGGGCGCAGGATCGACACGACACGTGCTCTCCTAAGCACGGGGGTGTAAAACAATCAGACAGTTAGCGTTAGTGACATGCTACAGAAAGCTGTGGCTTGATTAACTCGGGTACTAGGTATATCCTGTACTTAATATACATTAAACTATGTTTTAACATAATTTTTAAAACCTTCAAAGACCTAAACCATTGCATTAATAATATTGGGTATTTTGCTGCTATGTAATTATTTAAGCTGAATTTGTTGTTAATTGTAAGCAATAGTTTATTGTGCACTGTTAGTGTAGATCTAATGAGACTACATCGTTGTAATGCTATGCAAAATAATTTAGCTTCTATTATGCTCGTTTTAAACGTTATAACTTATGTCCATTCAAATCAAGGCTATATAATACATTTTATTTCAATGGGAAATAAATCTTATGAGAATAATGTTCTGACAACTTCTATAACAAAAGTAAAATTGGCTGTAATTAACAGAATGGATAAATACTGCGTTAGTTTTTTGATGTGATACATCTATTGGGGCGCCTTGGCAGTAAAACCGACTTGTATGCCGTGACGGCAAACGGTATGACACTGTCATACCATCATAACCCTCCTATGCCAACGCTTTCGACTCCCTCGTATGCGCGCGCATGTACTATACACTGTTGCTTCTGTATAAGCTGCGTGAGGTTTTTTAGTTTACTCCCATATTTCGTTATAGGTTTATATTAATTATGTATTCTAATATTAACATAGATGTTTCACATCTGCCGGGTATTCCGTGACGGGCAATTTTTTTTTATTTGTGCCATTAATTGTGAAATTTAATGTTAAAAAGACAATTATTTAATTTTTTTTTGACTGTCTAATTTGTTTTGTCAAATGTGTAAGCATGTAACCCTAATTTAATTTTCAAAATCTTATAATATTGTGTGAATACTATAATTCATCTTTTAATAGTGCAATCATAATAACATGAATAAATATATAATATTACCACTATGTCTGGAATGTAGTCGACCTATGTTCATCATTGCGAACTGGAAACTCTGTTATCTTAAATTACAAATAAGGTTATTGAAGTGAAAACTTCTTTAAGCAGGTCTGAATGGAAAGTAAACTCATGTAAGTCGTCATCGACATGGTCACGTGACGTGTTAACTGTAACACTCAAAGTGTGCCGATAGATGTCAAAACCAGATAAATGTAAACAGTTTTAATTTACAAATTTTAATTTTAGATTAAACTTTTAATTTGAATATACAAAAATAAGAACTGTTTGTTTATAGTTTTAAGTTTTCAATTTCTGTCGGCAGTCCTAATGCTGCCTCTTACTGGTAACTTTATTCTCATATAATGATTAATTTTAGTAAAATTACCTTGAGTGTCTGTATATGGGTTGTTGAAAGAGTTATTGTCTTCATGTTTCATAATAAATAATTGTTATTTTCTATTTTTAAGGTACACTAAATCCAATTTCTTGATCTTTATTCCAGTATCAATTTGTACAATATTAAAATTTGTTCTTTGATTGCTTTGTTTTATTTTGCTTTTATTATTCACCTACAAATTCTAGTATTATATTTAAAAAAAGATTATTGTGTTAATATCATAACTAATTTTGATTCAGTTTTAAATATCACTAATGAAAACTAAGGACTAACTGTAATACTAATGTTTAACATATGTATATAACATTTGTTTACATTAAATAATAAGTAAAAATATATAAAAAAATAATATATTAATTAATATATTTAATGATAGAGATCAATAAAAGTCAAAAGATAAATAATAATTAATAATTATTTGTACAATAAAACAAAATTACAGTACTTTCTAACAAATTATCTACCATTTTCAATAGAATGCACTGAACCGGTCATGATTGTATAACTTCAGAGGTCTTATCTGGAAAAAAGAGATTTCTTATAATCACATAACATATAATTAAATAAAATCTATTAACTATACTAGGTTGATACCCCATACAAACTTTCATCCCTATTTTCACCCCCTTAAGCTTCAGGAATGATTTCCGGGATGAGAACTATACTATGTCATTCTCAGGGTCTCAAACTATTATCTTACCAAATTTCATCTAAATTGGTTTAGTAGACCCTGAGATTACTCCCTATATACTCACAAACTTTACCTCTTTATAATATTAGTATAGATAAGTATTGGATTTGAAGTTTGGTCAAAAAAGAACTCACTTCGTATTGATATTTGTTCTGTTATATTTATGCAGGGCTTTTCTTCTTAGGATTTAACTCGTATTCACAATTAGCATATGCTATGCCTATACCCATACCCATGCCAGCTATGATTGGCCATCTCCGTCTTCCCAAAAACAAAACAGAAGATAGGGCTCCAAGTACTACTCCACTTCCTAGAACATTAAAATGGTTTTATGAATTCATTTAAAATAAAATGATTGCAACAAGTTTTTAATTCACAACATGTGTGGATCAGTTTAAAGTGACCCTACTTGCTGTGCCAGCAGTAGCGGGTTCGAGTTCCACTGAGGGAATTGATTTGCGTGATGAGCACGAATGTTTGTACTCCAGTCATGGGTGCTTTATATAGTATGTATGTAAGTTATATATGTGTATTGTATCAACTATCTGGTATCAATAACATAGGCCTCATAGCTTACCATGGAATTAGATGGTGCTGAGTTTTTATATTGCAACTTTATTTATTTAATCTATTAAAAATAGTTAAGCAAGACAGCTTATATATAAGTTTAACTTAGAATTACTATGTTAATTCTTGATACTGATGCCATTAGGTATGTTACTAAGCTTCGAGATTGATTAGAGAATTCCCTCAAATTGAATTTTGAAAATTATTTTCTCATCTAAAGAATTGTAATCGTTAAAACAACCTACCTGTTTTAATAATTCCATCAGTTAGACACATGTCCAACTTAGCGGAGTAATCGTCTTCAATAACTTCGATTGCGTCTTTCTTTCCTTTTGCCATTATTAATAAATTTTAATTACAAGTTATACTATAAGTCAATAAAATAAATAGATTTTTTCGTAAAGCAAATGATTTTATACACTTTTACATAATTCGGCACTGAAAGAAAATTGACATTTGACAAACACATGATATTTGTTATCTGTAAAGAAACGTTCATCATTACAAAATCTTAATTTTTTATCACAGGATTTTTTTTTGTTACTCGATGGAACATGAAAAATATTATTTCATGATATTTAAATATTAAACAAGAACATAATATTAAACATTTTTTTTAAATCTTTTTTTTGTGAAATGAATCGTATATACAATACAGCTGATTTTGACATTTGTCATTTTAATGTCATTTTTACTATTAACCCGATTATGTCAAGCAATTTATTATTATTTTTATCGTAAAAAGATGTAGTTAAATAGTTTTTTTTTGTATAATGTTGTCAAATTGTATAAAACAGGTCTGTAGGCCTATATTTTTAATACGATATACGAGTACAACGTCTGATACAAAATCAATACAAGCGCCAAACCCTACCAAAATTTCGAGTGATATGATCGGCCCGCCTGATCCAGTGTCCAATCTTCGAAAAATTATATTTAAAGAACCTAAAAATGAAACAAACCTAGAAAAAAAGTATAGAAAATTAAGACACGAAGTGCAAGAGTGGAATCAGAACTTTTGGACTCAACACAATTCACGTTTTTTTAAGGTAATTTTATGTAATCACTATAGGTTTCATATAATTAATTAGTGTAAACTAAAGGTAAGATGTGTTATAAAAACTGAATGTTTGTGCTACAACAGAAATATTATATTTCATATAGATAACAGTTTGTCTTAAAATGAGAACAATATAAAGTAACAATAATTAAACTAAACCAAATTATTTATTTTCAATTATGTATTTTATACATTTTTTGTCTGAATAAAAAATGAGTAGGTATTATGTATAATGCTCCTACTTGTAACATTTTGTAATGGATTTCAGGAACGAAAAGCATATTTAAAGAAAAATTTACCTGAAGGTAAAACTAACCTGACAGCAGATGAAATGAGTGTGTTCTATAAAGCCTTTTTGGATAAAAATTGGAAAACCCACCTTAGTTATAATAAGGAATGGTATATGAAGAACTTTACGTTACTAACTTTAGCTATTCAAATTAAAATTAAAAAAATATTTAAAATTAAAGCATAAATAAACATTATGTGTTTTTTTTAATTTATCCACACCTTATCAAATAAATAAAGAAGCTAATAACTTTACTCATTACATTATAACTAATTCAAATATTAAAAAAAATAATTAGGGAAAATCCATAATTCACTTATAAAAAGTTTACATACCTATTATTATAAATATCTGATATTGACATCTATAAATAGGTACATTTTATAAAATATGACAACTTATGTCATTTATTTTGCACAAAATATTGTATTGTTTGCTAAAGAATGTGTAAATTTGTGGTACAAATATTAAACTGGGCTATGCAATTAAATCCAGATTGGGATTAATAAGAAAACTTTTATGAAATAATGTATATTGCTTTAAAATGGTTAATTGGTATGGCCTTGGCCATGTGGATAGTGTTATGTCTGGTAGATTTGAATAAAGCGAATGTCCAATTAACAGGTACGATGCTAATTTAATTTCACTTACAGTCTAAGATACAATATCCCAATCCTAAGAAAATTATATTGTTCTTCATGGAAAAATAATTATATTTAATGATAAATTAAAATTTTGTATAAGTTGTAAAAGTGTTGCTTAGTTTCTTTTCTTATTATGTTTTTCAGAAACATATGCACAACAGCTAATAGTTCCCTTGTACAAAAATACAAGTGCTTTAGTTCAAAAAACATTGTCTAAAAGTAAGAAGAAATTAATGCATTCTAGAGAATCACAAAATAATATGTACCTACATTACATTATGTTTTTCGTTGGTGCTTGCACGATTTCAATATTCAATAGAAAGCAAGATATTCTATTATACACTCAAAGAAAAATAAAAATTATAAACATAATGGAAATAAAAAAATTTATAAGGCACCATATTTCTTTCAAAAAGACCGCCGTTTATATTAGTGTTGCCATTATAAATTCCGTTAAATTTATAAAGGCAATGAAAGCAAAAATTGTGAAAATCAAAAGTTCTATACATCAAAAGCCATTGGCATCAACTCCAAGTATAAACTTAGTACTTATTAACAAATTAAGAATTTTAGACCAAGAGCGTAAAAACTTGGGGCAACTTCTTATCGCTGCTATTCAAGAAAATAAACAAATTAAAATTAGCTATCAATTGGAGACTATGGCAAAAACCCGATTAACACAACACATAGAAGATTCTCATAGACAAATTAAGGAAAATAGATCGAGATATATTAGTTTCCAACAACTGTATCTCATAGCGCACCAAGAAAATATATTTTTAAAATCACGTCTGAAAAGACTTACGAAAGAAAAAGAAGACGCTGAAAGAAATCTTATTGAATTAGTAAATCAAGTTTGCCTTTCGAAGAATAATAATCTTAAGAACTTTTGTAGTCGTTTTATAGTAAACACTCACAGTAATTTGCTTAATTGCAATGTACGACATGAAATTAATAGATTCTTGAAAAAATGTAATGTAGAAGAGCAAAATGTTTTTGAAAACACTTGTAGGAAGGATGATTTAAATGATCAACCTCCTAATCCTTTAGAAATATCAGATTTTTTTGATGATGAACGTCTTATTTCTTTAGTAAAAGATGCTCCTAAACTTAGAGGTCTTCCTGGTGAATATGTTTGGACTGTTAAAGATAAAAACGGTATTATTGAAAAGCTTTATGAATACGATACTGGTTTTGATAATGGTGATACGATAAGAAGAATAAGAAAGTATTCCGTATATTGTGACAAAGAATGTTTATTGGACTTTTCTAAGTACGTAATTTATTATGTATTCTTTTCATCATCCTCCTCTAGAGCATACAAAGCCTGATGTGAAATACCTACATTAATTAATGTTTACTTTATCTTTATTCTTTTTAGAATTTAATGTACATATATTTAGAAAACAGAATTAATATCTCTGTACAAGAAATCGCTCAACATATAAAAGGGCCTGTATAAAATTTTAAATCAGCAATGCTATAGAAGTACCTATTTTGAAATGAAATATTTTTTGCATTTTATTTTTTGTTTTCTTGCAGTTCAACAACGTTTGTAAATAATGAAAAATCATCAAGTTTTCAAAATCAAACCGCACCTTTTTTCATTGCGAATCATAGATTTTTAACTGGTTCTCAAGCATTTCAAAAGTTTCTTCAAAATAACAAGAACTTTATAGTTCATAGACCAAAACCTCTCGCAATAGCTCATAAATTAGGAAATTTGAGTTTTTAAAGTTTTTACTATATATTATTTGGTATAATAAACTTTATAAATGTTTTGTAATAAATTATTACTAATTATTTTTGTCGTAATTTCTCATAGCATGACAACTGGCAACATTTAGTTGTTCACGCATAATATTTTTGTCCGTAGTTAGATAAATAAAAATATTACCAACGTTTAGGTATGTTAAACAATACTTTTATAATGTTCATTACACATATATCTAATAATCATAACTTCTTGTGATTTTGTAAATTCTAACACGACTAATTGTGTTAATTAATTGTTGAAGTTTAAGATTGTCAACCATCATGAATTTGAATCTTTGTAAAAATGTTGCCAATTGCCATGTTTATTAAAGAATGATTTTTCATTTCAATTTTTATCTTTTATGAATTATTTATACTTGTGTGCTCATATTGCAGGAATTATCTGACTGATTTTAAAATATTTTTTTTTTGAATTTTTGTGTCTTTTCATTGGGCTCACTCAGGTCGAAACTTGCGGACCTCATATGATACAGACCAGTACCTATTAATTCTTTTATAAACGATATTATAATATGTGCAGTACTGCCCCAAAGTTCAATTCAATTGTTTGTTTTGTGATGAGATTAGTTGATGTGTACAATTGGCAATCATAAAGCGAATCAACTTAGCTAAAGGGTGTAGTTTCTTGTTCCCACGCTTGGCTTAAATAAAAATACCCGCATATTCTCTTTCTTATTTGAAGACAAAAAATGAAATAACTCAAAATCCTATAGCTACCGAATTCTATATTTTTATAACTAATGACTATGACTATGTTCGATACTACTATACTATAGCTACGGTTGCTTCACATGAAGTTTATTTTTTGTTTTTAGGATCAGATAAACATGACCCAGAACCTGTCAGAAATAGATTTAAGCTCTATATCATGGAAACATATTAAAAATAATAGTCTTGATCTTGAATATGCAGTTGCAATTCCTAGAGCTATTGCGAATATTGTGCTGAAAGAGCTAGAAGAATCTTTAAATTATTTTACAGGAGATTTAGCAAAAATAAAGTAATTATTATTTATCTTTTGTAATTGTATTTTTAAAACTTCTTGCTGTTTCTCTAGTATATTAGACAGAACGTGTTATTTAACATGTTAACGTTTCACTCTAAGTGAGGTCACTCATGATCACACTGAGGTAATTTATTTCCGCGTATACATTAATAGGTATTATGATAATGATAGGTATAATTTTTTGAGCTGTAGGATACTAAGGGTTTTTTGATCTTCTACATTTATATGAACGAATATGTACTATGTACTAAGGGTTTCAGTCTCGTTATATTTACGAGTCTCGGGGAAAAAAAATTGAGACTCGGTGTGATCTCGAAATTCCGGGGAGAAACGAGACTTTCGAGACTACTTAAAAAATAGGTTTCATACTCATAACCTAGACAGTTAGGTAGTCGATACCGGGTATTTCAATAAAGCACTTTATTAATCACACTGTTACAAACTCAAATACAAGTAAAATTACCAATTATTAGGTCCGTACATATAAAATTGGCGTTTTATATGGAAAAAGCAAAACGAAAAAAAAATGTATGAAATTATATATGTATATCATCCGTCAAAGTATGTACCATTGTTTCGTTGTTGGTTAATTCGTTTGCTGAAAAAATTGTGGAGCGAGAATCAATAAAATCTCCGAAAGCGGTTTTGACTACCTCATCGGAATTGATTTTTTTTCTGCAAGAAATTGTCCAAATTCCGGAAAAAGTGGTAATCTGTAGAAGCAAGGTCTGAGGAGAATGGTGGGTGCCGGAGATATTCCAATCGTAGCTCCACTAAATTAAGTGGAGCAGTGGGCTAGAGTATTTGACCAGTCTCGGTTATTTAACGGCTAGGTCTTCCTTTATGGTTTGCAATTCTTGACAATACAGATCTTGTCGTAATCGTCTAGCCAGATCTTAGGAAGCTGTAGTGGATGCCATCAGCACTGGTCTACCAGACACTTACCTGTAATTTTTTTTGAGTCAACTTTCGCTTGGGGCAGGAATTCTCCTGGGTTCCCTCCCAACGTGCGTTCACCTTGTCGTGGTGGGGGGGGGGGAGGGGCTCAGTAGTGCCTGGCAATCCAACCGGGCGCGAAGCCAAGAAACGCACAGGGAGGTGGCCCACTTCGGTGGGCGGTGGGACGTGGCCCTCTTCGGAGGGCGGTGTACCATGCGGGTTGCTCCTGGTACTTCTCTGATAGCAGAGTGAACCTTGGAGCAACCCCGTGGTTGTTGTGGTCTGCTTCGGCAGACCTGCCGTCGGGGCGTCGTAGTTGAATGCGTAAGCGATCCTGTGATGCCCCATTAAGACGGGGGAAGGCTTTGTTGGGTTTTAGTGGGTAGTACTGGCTTTGCCGGTGAGTCCCACACCTCGTGCGTAAATGCATTTCCCAACGTTAAAAAATACACAAGCCTATATTTGAAATAAATTTGAATTTGGAACCAAATGCCAGATATTTTAGATCAAAGTAGTCTGACAAAACGCCAATTTCATATGTAAGGACCTAATATTTATGAGTTTGTTTTTCATTTTTACAGTGGGCACGTAAAAACAAAGAGTTTTAGTGTACTTTCAGACAGAAAAGATCTGGTTTTATTACAAAAGTAACCCGCATTAGAAAAAATCTTCTCTGATTCTGCGCTAGTATTAGGGGATAGATATTATTTACTTTATTTACCGATGGTTTAGTATTTCCCTCTGTCCTCTTATGCTACGTTACACTTTTCAGTGCTGCCACGTAACCGAAATAAAAAATATGGTGATTTAGTTTATTTTTGAATAATGGTAATTATTTGACTTAAGTCTGGAAAGTCTCGTTAGTCCCGAGACTGGCGGTAGCAGTCTCGAGTCTCGAAAATTCGAAAAAATCGTCGAGTCTCTCGAAGTTTTCGAGACCGAGACTCCCGGGATGAAAGCCCTACTATGTACACGTACAGAATTACCTGTAGACAAAGGTATATCTGTTTCCCGAAGGTCAGAACTAAGTTATAACAAAACTTTATAACCAGCTAAAAATGTTGTTTATGTCGCTTGAAGGATTATTTATAATTTCTATAAAAAACGGATTTAAATTAGATCGCGATTTTTGATTCTACTTAGTTAATTTATAGCACTATGTAAACAAAACTTTTCGCAAAGTAAAAGCATATTGCGTTTTTCGAAATTTCTTACCAAAAATTTAATATTAGTATATTATATTATAAGAGCTGAGTAAAAAAATAATCAATTTTAGGGTATTTGGTAAAGTGTATCCACTACCTCGCCAGCAAGTAGCATATGGGGACCCTGGGATCACGTACAAATATTCTGGGATAACTGTTCCTGCCTTGCCGTGGCCATCACCCGTGTTAGAGCTACGAAATTTTTTGTTTAAATTAAAGGGCATTAAATATGATTTCGTTTTAGTGAATAAGTAAGTAAAAATATTTATTTACTGCTCGCTTTTGCTTTGTATATAATATATATGGTCAACAAATTGAAACTACTCCATTTTGAATTATTAGCCTTTATGCAGATGTAATTTTAGATACAGGAATGGAAATGACCATATGGGAGAGCACAGAGATAATGAACCTGAGTTGGATCCAAATTTTCCAATAGCTTCAATTTCACTCGGGGAAGAGAGACCATTCGTGCTAAAACATAAAGATGCTAGAAAACCAGGGCCAAAGAAAAAGGACATACCAAAAGGTAATTATTAGTTAGTACTTTATTTTAAATCTTCGTACTTATTTATCGTTACAGAGTTATCAATGCCGCGCAATTTAAAGAACATGTAACGTAAAAGCCGAGCTTCGTAAGTTACGGTCTGCTTAGCTTTATTATTGGCGTCTTCTTCTTGGAACGGTGTTTCTATAACCGTACTCACTCGCCTTCCGTAAGTTTCAGATCCTTCGAGGAACTGTAGGCAATCTTTAATTGTGTTGTCTTTAACTACAATTAGATGCTTAGCCAAATTCTCTAAAAACGATAAAAAACAGCGCTTCGCGTAAAACCAGGTGTCAGTTCCCAATCTTTTATTGAAGGGCTCTAATGATTTGATCACTCTGGATATGCCGAACTCAAAATTTCCCTTAGCACAGTATAAGGTACCTATAACCAAATTGACGATGCACAAATGGTAGAATTTTTTGTGAGGATCTTCAAATATTTGCTGCTCTTCTTCCTTTTCTATTTTTCTCATAATATCTTCAGCCTCTTCATTCTGAGAGGTCATAATGTATGAGACACATAGATTTGCTAACACAACTGCACTTACGTCTAGAATGTTGTCATATTGTTTTTTGACAATTGGTTCATAAAAACTTGCTGCCTCTTTATATTTATTTTCTTGCATAAATAGCACGTGTGCTACGTTTAAGCGCCAGACATCGGATTCGTTGCAAAATTCTACTGATTTACGAAATATCTTTTCGACTTGACCGTAGTTTTCCATATCCCAATATATTTTAGCTTGAGCCATAATAACAGGAATATATCTTTCCAACGCTTCTTCATATTCAACTACGGCTTTTTTTACTTGATCATTATCACCTTGAGAGCGACTTTCCTGTACGACTTTAGTCAGTTTTCTCAATTGTTCTGCATGTTTCGAGGCGATGTCTTCGTATTTTTGAAAAGCTTCTTCAGGTGACGTTTGACTAGTTATGATCGCATCTAAGAAATCATATAGATAAGGTGTTAGGTATTTATATGTAAACTGTGCATTTTCAGCTAAAATATCGGCAGCTAGATCATAATATTCAAACTTGCAATATAAGAGGAGTAAATTGGCGAATGTTTCTGGTGGAAACGGATCTTGCTGTAATAAAAAGTGTAGTTTTTCGAAGCCATCAGTTGGTTTCACATCAATAGATGTAAGAGCTAGATTATGCAATGTAACAGCATCTAGCTCATGTTCATGTCGAGGAGGCATATCTGACAGTGCTTCTCTTGCTGCCTCTATATTTTTTAATTGGTATTCGATAGCAGCTTTTAAATTAAAGACTTCAGTTAAAGCGGTCTCGTGAAGAGTTAAAGTATTTCCAACAGATTTCACTTCCGAAGTTTCAGCCTGCATACCGACCGCTAGTTCTGGGTGATCACGGATTCCCTTTTCAATGACTAATGTTATATGCTTTAAAGCTTGGGGATATTCTTTTAGTCTGAAATAGCAGAGCGCCACATTGTAATGCAAATGCGCATTGAATCCCAATATATTGAGGCTCCTTGAAAACTTTTGTAACGCTTCCTCATATTGATTCTCTTTATATAACAGACACCCTAAGTTAATATCTTTGTCTGGATCATCTTGGGGGTAGGAATCGACTAAGCTTCTTGCAGATATGGTATCTTCTTCACCATACTTTATAGCAGATTGTAATTTTGTTACTTTTTTTTCCAATTCTGGAGCAGAAATTTGCATTGTTACTTTGTAGGACTCGTCGAACATGGATGCTTCATACAATGCTTGAGCAAAGTACAGCTTATACTCTGGTACATCAGGGTGCATGGCAGATAGTTGTTCATAGCAATTGGCTGCTTCAACGAAAGATTGGGTTCTGAAATAACAATAGCCAAGTAGAGAAAGTCCAGCTCTGTTGGGTTTGAAGTTGATTGCATCGTTAAGAGCTTTGATTGCGTCTTCATATCTAGACTCTTTTATCTGAAAAGGGAATAAATAATGTTGTATGAATAATATTTGGTATTATTTGATAGTTTATTGACCTTATTATTTTTTTGTGTGCATAATAACTTTAGAGTGCACTTTTACATTAGAGTTTAGGAGATTTGAAATAAAATTAGAGAAAATGGATATACATATACAGCCTATCAATTTTATGGAATAGACAACTGATTGCGCAATCTCAAATTAAATTAATTATTCAAATTTAAAGTTGTAATATACAAGTATTGAATATTGTTTTGCTCTTTTAGAATCGTTATCTATATAGGTATGTAGATTATATGAAATAAAGTGGAACATGTAAGGACATCGAACACACGTGTAGAAAGTGACTAGAACATGATAACACTAACAATGTCCTTTGACGTTTTAAGCTTCTATGTTTCATGATGATCAAAAAACACATTTGGAGAACATTTACATTCAAAAAATATAAATATGTTCTTAAAATGTTCCATATTACTACGAAACTTTTTATTAGGCTCATAGTTTTTTATTTATATAGTAAATGCTAACATATTTATTCTTCCTTACATAAACACTACATAATATGTACTTCTAGTAATATATATCATAATGTAGTCCTCATTACTTAGTTCAATGGAATCATACTTTAAAGATCTAACATATGAAGGTAAATAAATGAAAAATAAATATCAAAAATATCTCTTATACCTAAACTTTATTACAATAATTTATGGCTCATTCTCTTAAATAAACTTTATTACAATTTATGGCGTAAACTATGATTTATCTAATCTTAATCTCCGTTAAACGAATGTCTTGCGTAGTTCGCTATCATACAATGGCACTTGCGGATAACAGCTTTCGTTTATCGATGTTTTGCAAAATATATTTCCGTATAGGTTGGGCAGTTTAAGGGCTAGGTCATGTATTGATTATCAACTAATGTAATAAATAGGAAGTTACACAACATGTGGATCAATCACCTGTGACAAGTTTTCGTAACGAAATATATTAACAGGCTTTGTATTTTCCTTGAATTGGATAATCATTTTAAAGATAATTAACTTAAACTTCCTTTATGGTTATGTTAGTGTGATTTTTGTTAATTTAAAAAAAATTGTGAAGATTTTGTATCTTAGTACTGGTTTGGTTCTAGAATGTTCTAAGAGAAGGAGGCACTTAGATTTAGGAAGTAGATGACGTGTGTTCTTACCATAGAATAAATTGTTTTTGTGTATTGCCCATCAGATATTTGTACGTACTCCATTTTTACTTACATTTATGGCTTTATAATCAAAACAACATTGTTTCTCTGTGATTGCTGTTTTGATATAGGTTGTCATGGTTACCGTTAAATAAACTTTTTTTCAAGTCATATGAAAAGTTTAATATGTAACAAGATGTTACTTGTATCCTGTAATTTCTATAGTATATTATTTATTTTTAAACCTTTTTTAATGAAAAATTCAAAGCTACAATTAATCTAATACAATACGAAAAAATAATTGCTTCTTTAAATTGTTGATATTGAAATTCTGCGTCTATTAATATGAGATTTTTTTTCAGTCACTATAAAATTGGAACATGGAAGTGTTTTATTCATGAACCCGCCAACAAACGAAGTATGGTATCACAGTTTGCCCATACGCAAGAAAATCATAGGACCAAGAATAAATTTAACTTTTAGAAAAATGCGCTAAATTAATTTTTAAAATAAATATTTCTTTCAACTATTATATCATACATTGCAAAAGTCACAGTATATTAATGCAAATTACTAGTTTTAACAATAAGAGGAAAAATCATTACAATATTCAAAAATGACAATAAATATTGTACATGCATACACAGTCAAACTACGTATTTTATATTTATCGCAGGAATATTATAAAAGCAGCTTTTACACAACAATTTTCATGCGACATATTATATACCATATAAATATATATTAATCCTGTATCTAATATTATGCAAAATGCTTAGTGTACCTCAAGCTTTTTATCCTATTGTCATTTTAATGACGTTCACTGTCATAATACAGAAAAATATTGACAATTTGACAGCTAAAAAGTTTTCTCTATAACATTTATTTGTATTTCCAAATTAATAATATAAAATTGTAAAAAAATACTCTATTACTGTGCGATTTAGTTCCAAGGAACTAGAATTTTGAGGTAAGTGATTTCGTTGATAACGCTTATTCGTAATATTTCCAGCTTTATGATTTCGTTAGTTATCGTAGCATCGCTCAAGTACATTTACGATAAGAACAGTCTATATAACGACGGTTTTCGTTCAACGACTGTCGCTATAGTATTCATATTGCGATGAAACAAATTCCTTACTCTGAAATAAGTCACTGTTTTAACTGCTACTTTAGACAAAGATGGGCTGAAGTTTTGATTGAATCATTTTACGGCAGACTTTTTGAGTGTCGAGCACTAAAATTTACCTAATAATATACTTTGAGAAATATTTGGTAGTGTCTCATTTGGTTCCTATAAAATGTGGTATGGAATAAATCTTCAGAGATCTTACAAATATATGATTTTTGCTAGCAAGATGCCGTCTCTAAGGATAGATCAGAGTGACTTGAAGTGTAAGAATGGATGTGACTACTTTGGCAATCCACAATGGCAAGGGTACTGTTCAAAATGTCACAGAGAACAACTTCAGCGGCAGCGAAGGGCTGGTATGTTTTTTGTATATTTTACTAAGTCTAATTAAAATATTCATAATATTTATTATAATATAAAGGGACTTTAATTTTTTACGATTACTACTGATTATTTTATATATATAATTTCGAACAAAGGAGCAACTAAATGTCTAAAGATAGATTGTTGTGTAGAACAGGATACAGAAAAAATTATATATTCAAATCAACTATTTTTATATCATATTATTATTATTGGTGCAATAGTGTGTATAATGGATAACTATTAAAAAAAGTAAATTATGATATTCCAATGTTATATTTCCTACATATTCTTATATGCAAAATATTTTTTTTAAATATTGTGACTGGCCTTGATTTTCATACAATCTCATAGCATGGTATTAATTTAAAAAACATGTTATTTTTATTTTTTCTTATCATTATGTGATAAGCATAATGAACTGTAACATTAAATACTGTTTCTGTTGATATTTGTAAAAAAAATATCTCCGGAATTGATCAAAAACTAATAAAACATTGATAAATTCGAAAAAATTATAACACAAATAGATTCTACGGCAAAAAAACCAAGCCAATGGTATACTTTACGTAAATTCCAACTTTTGTTAATTTTTCACGACTTCAAATTGCAAAGTTGGAATGTTTACGTCGTCATTGTATGAATGATAAGCGTCAAATTAAAAACTCAAGGTTACCATTTTTTTCGTTGTTTCCTGAAAAATACATTGGTGTAATTAATTTATAAAAATTTAGTCAATAAAGTACAATTCTTCAATGATAATTAAAAAAAATTTAGTTTACAAAGTAAAAATTATCGATTTCTCCAATTTTTAAAGTTAAGAGTTCAAGACAAAAAGAATGAGCCCTATCTGAAAATAGAACGATTTTTTTTTTAATGTAAACGCCCACTTTAAGTTGGGGGTGATTTTCAGCCTCTTGAGACCATAAATACAATACATGAATGGAAATTCATTTTTAATTCATTCACAAAACATTTCAATTTAATTTTTTTTAATTTGTTATGTGTATTTTGAAGATTACATTCCCTTAGTTTCATGGAAATCAAAAGATTATTCTAGAAATTAAAAATATAAAACCAAGAAAAATTTCAAAACCGAGTTTTTTGCAAAAATCTCGAAAACTTTGAGGTTATTTATAAAAATTGTAGTTTTACTAGACCTAAAACTTTTGTAGAATTTTTTTTTCGATAGAACATCACAGTAAGCCGGAAATTGAAAAAAACTATTTGTCAGCTGTGCATGGGGGGCATCTTACGAATTTTTATTCCTTATATACCTGCTAACATTTTAAAATCATAAAACTTCAGGTTTTCAATAAAAAAAATTCTCTTAAAAATAAACAGATTCCGATTGGCCTATTACAGCAATCATGGTCACGGGAGTCTCTCCTATAGATTTAAAATACATACCATTTATTTTCTGTTTTATATTTTGTATTATGTAGGTATATAACTACATATTTTAAACTTAACCTATATAAAATAAGATAATAAGATAATTAACTCAAGGATGATCAAGATCCAAGATACTGATAGTATTACTGCTTTGAGATATTTATATTTTAATATTAGGTAATACTTCTTTAAATAATGCTATCATCACTAGCTTTTAGTTCTTTGTCAATATTATTAATTTAAAGACTTATTTAAATTATGATGAACTAGGGATTCACCCTTGCTTCACTTTCCGAAGACAAAAACATATTTTTCCTCCGCGAACCTGTTTTTCTGAGATAAAAAGTAATTTATGTGCTATTCCAAACTAATCTATCTCTGTGCCAAATTTCATCCAGATCCCTTCTGCTGTTCTTGCGTGATTCAGTAACAAACATCTATCCTCACAAACTTTTACATTTATAATATTAGTATGGATTTTTTAATATTAATACTAAGGGCACTGAAATAGCATACTTCTAAGAGTAAACAATAGATGAAAATAAAATTAAAAAGAAGGTGTTTTAAATTATATTTCTGTATTGTTCAATTGTTAATCCATTCAACTATTGTTGAACTTGAATTTGAAGGTGCACTTCATATAAGACATCTTAACACTTGTAACATTTTTAAAAAACGGAGTCATCAACAATAGAAATACTTGAACTTTAAGTATCAAATAGTACTATCAGTATTGTAAATGCATATTGTGTAGTGTAAATTATTTAAGTGTATTGATTATTAACTTGTCTTTGAGCTATTTTTTTATTTTGTTTTCATTGGCAAATACTAGACAGAATATAACAATGTATAATATTTACTTCACAAGTGATAAATAAAAAATTGAAAAACCCCCGACCATCTTGAACCGATTTTCATCAAGCATAGCTAAGAACACTCCTGACTAATTCACCTTTCAAACAAAAAAAAAAGAAACAAAATCAAAATCGGTTCATCCGTTCGGGAGCTAAGATGCTACAGACAGACACACACAGACACGTCACGTTTTTGCGTCGGGGACTAAAAAGTAACTGTCAAATCAAGGAGACTAGATATTATATTGAGTAAATAGTGGTTGGTCCACAAAAGAAACCTAAAAGTCAACTATTTCGTCTTATGTACTAATTTTAAGCAAAGCATATTACTTCGATCAATGGTTTTTAGTGGATAAAGAGACTTTCTTAACAGACAGACTTGATACATAAACTTTGTCCGGGACTTGGAATCCAGGACCTAGGAATAGAATGTAGCCGCACATGTTAGACGTTAGACCACCAAGGCAGGTAAAAATTAAATACAATAATATTTTTATTCATTTATCTACAGAAAAAGCTTCATCAGCGACACTGCCAAAGCCAGAACAGAAGAAACCCGACCGTGGCTTAAAACTTGCCACACACTCGTCTTTTTCCAAATTTGAGGAGAAACGTCTGCGTCAAAGCGAGACCTTGAAGAAAGCAAATTTATTGAAATTCAGCGTTTTTAAAAAAAGCAGTACAGGTGGGATGGATTTAAATATTATATATATCTATCATATCTATTTAACTTTTGCTCAATATGAAATATACATCTAAGGCTTATATAGTTTGCATTGTTTGATACACCTGTTATGTATAAAACGTACTCTTTATTTAGCCAAAATATTTGCGCCGTTCGAGAATCGAACCCACAACGTCGGGTGTCAATGCCATTAAGACTTCACCACGTTACGCTAGCAACATCTCTTGCATTACTATTTAGTCCACAACTAATAAGTATTTATACTCAAAATAGGTAAATACATATTTGTTTTCCGTTACCTAACCCAATGCAACCAAAGTGGTCGCATGGGGCCCCTTTTTTTTTTTTTTTCACGTTGGGAAATGCATTTACGCACGACGTGTGGGACTCACCGGCGTAATACAGCCAGTACTACCCACTAAAACCCAACAAAACCTTCCCCCGTCTTGATGGGGCGTCGCAGGATTGCTTACGCATTCAACTACGACGCCCCGACGGCAGGTCTGCCAAAGCAGACCACCACAACCATGGGGTTGCTCCAAGGTCCACTCTGCTATCAGAGAAGTACCAGGAGCAACCCGCAAGGTACACCGCCCCCCGAAGAGGGCCACCTCCCACCGCCCACCGAAGTGGGCAACCTCCCTGAAATGGGGAGCATGGGGCCCCTGATTCAAGGGGGCCCTAGTGGGTCAGGAACGATTCTTTTATTTCAAAACATTTATTCAAGGATGGCCTTCATATAAATTAAAAAAGAACTGAAAAAAAGTGTCCTAAATTTCCGCAAATTACTTTTACGTGGACCACGAGAAATGTGATCGTACCTATCTTCTTTATATATATAATTCTTCTGTGAGTGTGTATGTCACTGAACTTCTCTCAAACGACTGGACCGATTTTGATGAAATTTTTTGTGTGTGTTCAAGGGGATCTGGGAATGGTTTAGATTCACAATTTGAATAATAATTTTCATCAAAAAAAAATATTAAAAAAAGTTTGAAATTTTCAAATTAAAGACGTGTAGACAGGACAATGTCTGTCGGGTCCGCTAGTGTTCTATAAAACGATGAATGGTCCTCTAAGTTCAGTGTTCTTACTTTATTTTTCTCTACCCGTACTTCCGTGAGAGCGGTTTGAAAAAAAGTGAGAAGTGTATCTGTGGGCCACATTCGTTTTCATAATAGTCAAAGGGGGCACTTCCATTTTTTTTTGCATTGGGGCCCAAAATAGCTAGTTACGCCACTGACATTTTTGAGTATTTTTTAATATTCTTTCGTTATTCGTGTCCGTTTTTTTTCACCTAAATGGTTCGAACGATTTTGATAGTTTTTGTGTAGTCACGGGTTCACATGGATGGTTTATAGCTTTAGTTGGACCCGGTAGTTGGCACGGTGGCATTGTGGTCGAAATCCGTATATTTTTTTCTGAATGTTGACAATTTTCTAGCGACAGCCACGTTAATTCTCTATTGTCCCGATATTGTATACAAAGCGGATGTAATTTTCTTTAGAGTTTGATTCTAATAAAATTAAGTTGATTAGGTCTACTATGGAAAAATCGTAGCATTCATACAAAGGCAAAAGTTAGAAAACCAATAACCTGGTGTGTATATCGGTCACTAAAAGGACTTATTATTAAAAATTGAAAAAATGGTCGTAAAATTAAAACGATTATATTTTATTTATATATATATTGTAGCATATAAAATATAAGATAATGTTTTTCATATATGTCCGTATTGTCATTGATGTAATCTGTTAGTTGTGTAATTTATTGTATGTAATATACATTACTATTTATTATTACATAAATACATTTACTAGTTTACTTTTTTTTCTATGCTTTATTATTATTTTTTTGCTTTGTACTCAAACCATTATATACAATGTCCTTTCGAATGTATTGTGACAAATAGATGATACGGGGCATATGCCCAGGGCCCCTGGCCTCACGATGGCCTCGAAAAGAACATGTTCGCTTACTCAATTAATTTAAATGTTTATTTTATAATACACTGCACTCTATACGTAATATGTTATGTCCCTTATTTAACATTTTCGTCTTTTTAACTGAATTCTTTACGATTGAGTTTTTTTTAATTTTGTAGTTAACTTAATTTTTTTATCATTTAAATTTTTGCACCTTTCATAAAGGGCCCTAAACTGTTGTGTCCAGGCCCGTGTTAAGCCATGCGGGGGCCCCGCATGGCTTTTGATAGCCCTGCTCAGGGATAAAGTATCCTTTACACTATCAATACTATGTATGTTTTAGTTTTTATGTTATCTTTATATCGTATTATTTCCGGAGTAATAAAAGGCTAAATGAATAATCTGATATATTTCATAACAGACGAACATGACACACCAGAGCGTAAGCCTCCGGAATTCAAAATCCCCACCATGGTGAATGAGGGGATGAAGAGGGACTTCAGGGTGCGCTTCCCAAACCTGCCGCAGGCCGTGGGCCGGGAGTCGCGGGCGTTCGTGCACCTGTTCATAATGGATGTCATCAAATGTTCAAATGTTATGGGAGTGGATGAACTGTCTGAGAGGGTGCAGAGGCATTATCAGGTTGGTAGTTTTTTTTTTAATTTTATTTGGTCGATGGTCTAGTTGTCCCTAGGTATTTTTGACACTTTTGGGTTACATTATTGCAGTTTTTGTGCGGATCTCTAATTTTTTTTAAAGTTAAATGCTATTCACTGATAATAATGTAGCTCTCTCACCGCGTTGTGTTCGTAATTTAATTTTTAATTTTGGTATGTAAGTAAATTAAGATGTATTTTTTAAATACCTTCTTTTATAAAATCTATATTTTGTCCTATCCATCAAGTCATAGATATTTTCGATGTTTCACATCTGCCAGGCGTCCTTTTTTTTTTTTTTTTTATGTCGGGAAATGCATTTACGCATACCACCTGATCCCCCAGGTGATGATGTGGGGCTCACCGGCTAGAAGAGCCGGTACTACCCACTAAAACCCGACATTCCCCTCCCCTCCGCCTTAATGGGACGCCGCAGGATCGCTTGCGCATAACTACTACGGCGCCCCGGCGGCAGGTCTGCCTAAACGCTAGGCAGACCACCAAACCGATGGGGCTGCTCCACAGTCAACTCTGCTACGCCAGAGAGGTACCCGGAGCAGCCCCATTAAACCTAACCACCGCCCACCGAAGTGGGCCACCTCCAATCGGCTGCAGAGGACAGGGAGAGCGGCAACGAAACACCGACACTCCTCTTCCCCTGCAGCCCCACCGCGTCCGCCATCAAACGGTGGCGGCCCCGTCTAGGCCGCGGAAGGTAGAGAGAACGGCGCACCGAAATACCGGCACTCCTCTCCCGCCGCGGCCTACCCCTCCGCCGGATGCGGGCCTGCGACCACAGTCCCGCAACCGGCACCCATCATCCGGTTGTGGGACCAAGCGGTCCCACCACCGGTGGCCGCAACGTCTTCGGCTCGAGGCCTAGACGAGCGGCCCCATCCAAGCCATTTGGTCCGCGCCGGATTTCTCCGGTACCACCCGCCGCCCTAAGCGGGTGGCATTCCCCTATCCGCCACCTGGGGACATCTGCCAGGCGTCCTGCGACAGCTTTGTTTTTTTTAAACTTATTATTTTTCAATATATTCTCATCTTATGTTATTAAGTAGTTTTATCAACATTATATTGATACAAAAAAAAAGATAAAGTCGTGTCCATTTATTAAAATTAAAAAAAATAAAATTCATATATTTTTAATACATATGTATGTACTAGCATTGCCCGCGGCTCCGCCCGCGTTCAGATGACCAAAAACCAAATGCTTAGGTTTTACATATTAGTATACTCTTACATTGCAGTTTTGGTATTTTTTCTCAGAAATGAGACATTTTCCCGCGGTAAAAAGTATCTTATATGTTGACCCGAATAATCAGCTATCACCATACCAAATTTCATCAAAATCCGTCCAGCAGTTTTTCCGAGTTGCGGTAACAGACAGACAGACAAAAATTCTAAAAACTATAGATTCGGCCTCCGTATCGATAATAATGTTTATTTCAATAAGATTTTCCAAAAAATATTTGATGTACAGATTCGGCTTAGTTACAATTTTATTATATGTATAGATATGATTGGTATGTTTTCTATAAAACAGCACTTTATAAAAAACATGGACGCGTCACCACACCTGGCTAACGTAGAGCCGGAGACAAAGGAGTTGCTCATTGACTTCGTTGAAAAACACGCCATGACTTATTTGCACGAGTAAGTATTTACTTCTTATATTTAAATTAATCTAACCATAACAAAATAGAAATTATAATAAAATTGTTCTAACAATACAACGTGCTAAAAGCACAAAATGTGCTTGCACAAAATAAAATTAAATGTACTGATTCGGCTCAGTTAGAATTTTATTATACTAGCGGAACCCGCGGCTTCGTTCGCGCTAAATCTACAAAAAAACTCTAAAAAGGTAGATTTCATACAAAATTTCATCCCCTATCTTACCTTATGCGATGAATTTCCAAAAATGCTAAAACGCGTATTTATTTAATTGTATCGATGAGCAATAATACCAAGCTTCAAGTAATTCTGAGCATAAATATTTTTTTGGGTTGTGTTATAAAATGTTTTCCTAAAAAGTGGTAGTAGTAGTTTCCTTAAAAGTAGCCTATGTCACCCTCCAGTCCTCCAACTATCTCCACACAAAAAATCACGCCAATCCGGCACTCTGTTTCGACGTGAAAGGAGGACAAACAAGCAAATAAACAAACAAACACACTTTTACATTTATAATATTAAGTATGGATGTATAGATATAATAATATTGTGACCCTTTCTCCCCAGCCTTCCCGGGGTGGTGTTCTCCCCGCACGGCACGGAGGACGAGCGCCTCGACCGCGCCATGTCCGAGCGCATACAGCAGCTGAGCTGGCTGCGCGAGACGCACCTGGACTGCAAGCTGAGGGCCTCGCCCGAGACCAGCCAGTTGCTGTACAGGGCCATTGGTGGTGAGATATATGTTGAATAAATTTAGACTCTATGTTCGATGTAATAAAGTGCAATTTAGCTTGCTTATGACATCATATACGTGTGTGACCGACCGGTGTGTACTTGCAGCTGAAGTGTGACGTGTGCCTCATTATTATTACAGTTTTAATTTCTCCGTCGGATTTGGATTAATTTCTCAACGATGATTCAGAGAAATTGCTAAATTCAGTAATTACATTAGAAATGCGATAAATTGTTTGTTTGTCATTTATTTACAATTTATTGACTTGGAATGTAAGAAAATATAATATTATTGAAAATTATAATTATTAATGGCATGTAAAATGGTTATAAAGATGTCTTCATTAATCGTATTTCAATGAATACAGAAGACTTCTGGCCACACATTCGTTTTGTCTCTGTCGCTTTTCCGCCATTTTCAGTAGACTGTTGGCAACGAAACACTCGACCTACTCTTTATGTCTATAATTTGAATAAAGTATATTTTGATTTGACTTTTAAAACTGCCTCGGTGGTGTAGTGGCTAGCATGTATGGCTGCATATCCGGAGGTCCTGAGTTCGAGCCTCAGTAACAAACCAGAGTCGAGAAGATGGCGGTGTGTCACCCTCGTGTCGAGCCAGAGCACGTGTCGCGCCTTAACTCTCACCGATCGTGTCTCGTGTCGTCCCACCGGAATATGAGATGTGATTTCTAAAATGTGTTTTTCTTATAAGTACCGTATATAATTTCATATGCATTTAGTAAAACGCTGTTATTTTGACATTACAAAGAGTCACTTCAATTTTATTTATCTGTATAGATTTTGATTTGATGTGTGCGCAGAGCTGCTGGGCATGGACGGCGCGGCGTCGCCGGGCGGCAAGCTGGCGCGCGTGCGGCGCGCGTGCCGCCACGTGCTGGCGCTGTGCGCCGGCCCGCGCGCGCCCGCCTCCGCCGACGACCTGCTGCCCGCGCTCATATTCACTGTACGCACCTCCGCCTACATACATACATACATACATACATGCTCAGACTGTTACTATATATAACATTTGACATCTATATATAATAATAAAATTGTAACTGAGTCGAATCTGTACATAAAATATTTTTTGAAAAATCTTATTGAAATATACATTATTATCGATACAGATGCCGAATATATAGTTTTTGAATTTATGTCCGTCTGTCTGTCTGTGAACGAATCACAAAAAACTACCGGGGAAATTTTGAAGAAATTTTGGATGATGATAGCTGGTTATCCGGATCAATATATAGGATACTTTTTACTGCGAAAGAATATGACATCTCCGAGAAATCTATACTAAACGTTAAAACGTTACTAAGGACAAATCCCAAGCAGAGCAAGGATGAGTCGCTCCTTTTAAAAAAATCTTTCTTTTAACACCTAATTCTAACATTTAATTTAAATTTGTAATGTAAAAATGTAGAATTTACCGATAATATAATCGCCGGGCTACTTTTCTAATCGCACTGAGTGCCATAACGCAAGACGTCGCCCTCGGAGAGCATGATTGTAACTTGGTAATATAGTAATTTCGAATCGTTCTTTAAATATATTAAAACGTAGTTTTGATTTTAAAATTAACGACCTACCCTCACTTTGTTCGTGTGGACCTAACACTACTCCAAATGCAATCTTATTTTGCCGACCAATTTCACTCGTGTCTTCTCCATTCTACATGACATTGACGAAGTAATATGTGCTAAACTGACACGCTTTGAAGCCAATAACAAGAGAATATAATTGTGCTCTAGGTATTATATCTGCTATAGTATTATTAGTAGTAGTGTACTTAAATTTATCCAATCTTTCCAACCCTGTCAACACGAAGGAATAAAAAAAAAAAACACACACACACACACACCGACACACACATAACGTTACCAATATTTCTCTTTACAGATTATTTATCTTGTTTATTGCCAACAGGTATTGAAAGCGAATCCGCCGCGTCTAGTGAGCAATATCAACTTCGTGACCCGCTTCTGTAACGCGCAGCGCCTCATGACGGGGGAGGGCGGGTACTACTTCACCAACTTGGTGTGTTAAGTGTTATTATAGTTATTGGTTATGTATATATTCAGCCATTTTTAACGTCCCACTGCTGGGCACGGGCTTCCCTATAATACGATGGGGATCGGGTCAAAGTCTGCCACGCTGGCCAAGTGCGGGGTGGACTTCATGATTGTCTTTCGAAAACTTGCTAGGTTTTCTCGGACATGCAGGTTTCCTAGTGATGTTTTACTTCACCGTAAGACAAGTGATAATTATGTTGGTAATGATTCGCACATGAAAATATCAGAGGTGCGAGACTCGGGATTCGAACCGGCCTCATTCGTTTTCCCAAGTGAGCGCGTTACCATTGGGCTATCACTGTCTTGTACGTCATTTGTTTATAGTTAAAATTTATTGCATATCAATACTTTTATTAATATATACAATTGGGTTATTGGTCTAGTGGTTAGCATGTACGGCTAGTGAGGTCATATGTTTGAGGTCGAAATTGTTGATGTTTTTTGTCAAGAACATTTCAGCAGGATTTCAAAAGTTAAATTTATATATAGAACGCGGTTTTAAGTAGAAGAAGAATATTTTGTTAGTCCTTTACTCAGGCGTTAATTTGTGAGACTTAAAATGGATATCTGCGGCTTATTATTTATAAATTATTTTTTGGATTGTTTGTACGTTTCTGTTTGATAACATTCAATGAGGCACCAGTTGGCACCACTGGCAAGTGAAGTCCTATCGCTGTCGTTGAAAAGTATTTGTTAGTTCGGCAGGGCCAATAAATTTAATACAATAATTATAATGTTTAACAAGAAAACAGTTTAACAGGATTTTAAATAATTAATGATAACCAAATAAATAAAATATTGTTTTTTTTAAATCTTCTTTTAAATAATATTTGCCAAGCTGTACCGTGTCAGCCATAATTAATGAGGAATGGCACAATTTTTACAAATAATCATGAATATTAGTGAAAATCCGCGGTGAAAAGCTCGCAAATAGTGCACGTTCAATATCATTTGACAGTTCTAGAGACCTCACTCTACACTAGACTAGACGACTGGAGAGACTACTATCTCGAAAGTGGGTGAAATTCTTGAGTTAACAAGTCATTCATTATAGTATGATTTGCTCAATTTAAGGACTGATTTTCCTCTTTATCAGTGCTGTGCGGTGTCCTTCATAGAGAATCTGAATGCGGAGTCTCTGAACATGGACAAGAAGGAGTTCGACTGCTACATGGCGATGCCGGCGTCCATTGGCGGCAGTACTTGGGTAAGGATTTTCTTTGGATCCTTTGGATTTTCAGATTTGTCATGGTGTTAGTATGTAATAGATTATTGGTATAGAAAAGTTGGTAAGTACTTTAAAAAAAAATTATGTCCTTTATTTTAGAAATGACTGAATCTCCATACAAACTTCATGATGCATGATTTCCGGGATAAAAATTATCCTATGGAACTAGTCCCAGTGTTTCAAACGATTTCCATACCGATTTAGGTAAATTTCATCTAAATCGGCTTAGCACATTAACCATGTAAAGATAACAAATACAAAGAAAGTTACTTTCGTATTTATAATATTAGTATGAGTTTGTGGTCGTTTTTTACGTGATTTTGTCTATTGGTTCAGAGATTGGTGACTTGAATTATGGAATAAATTATGTTGCTAAGGGGTTAATTATTGTAACAAAACTATTTGTATGGACTTTTCGCCTAAGATACATGTATGTGGTGTCTATGTAATATCAATATTTGTCCTTCAACTTATTAATTTTACAAGGACGACTTTTTTGAAGAATCTACCAACGGTTTCTTTCATGGACGGATTGTAATTAACTTTGAAAGTTAGCTAAGTTTTATTTTTAAATTGCCAGAATACTGGCTTAAATAGTAAAAAAGATCTAAGGCATATAAAATTATATGTCTATCTCCTAAGGTGCTCGCAATAACTATTTTTATTTATTGAAAACGTATGTAGGACTCCGAGTGAAGCGTAAGTCGTTAATTATATATATTATATTTTACAACTTTTGTCTGTCTTTTGCCATACCATTAAAAAAAAAAACAGTCTTTATTAAACAACACAATGGTAACAAATACACACAGCCCTAACTCCTGAACTAGAAAACTGTGTTTCAGGAGCTAGTACCTTCCCATATCAGGCGTACATATTCATTGCATGAAATTGCGTTATAATAAGGTAAGTTAATGTAAACAAAAAAGGAAAAAAGAAAAAAAAAATATTAAAAATTAAATAAATTACTTCTAACTTACAAGACACAGAGAGAAAAAAAAAGTGTGTATATGAGTGTGTGTGCGTGTGTGTGTGCGTGTATGTGTGTGTGTGTGTGTGCGTTTGTGTGAGTGGGTTTGGTTGTATGCTTGTGTGTGTTATGTTACTATTACAATTTGTATATATTAGCATTTATTTTATTTATTCATTTTTTTTTATACTTGCACGATGTTTTCAGTTTGTTCATACGTTAGATTAATTAGCCATTCTTTTAAAATTTCTTTTATTCTATAGTTGCTTAGATTTTTCACAGTATAAAGGTCATTGAATTTATTATAGATAAATGGAGCGATAGTATCATAGTGCCTTTGGGCGAAGACACTTCTTGTTCGTGGAAGCGGACAGCGGTCATGTCTTTTATTATTTTTAGGTAAAAGTGGAACAGTAACCTTATGATATCTACGTATACACTCATATATAAGTAGTTTTCTTATCGTAAGAACATTTGCTCTCTTATATAATTCAGATGTTCCGAATCGGTAAGGCAGGAAAAGAGCTACTTTCAAGAGTGATCGTTGAGCGCGTTCGAGGTTGAGAAGTTTAGTTTTGGAAGCTCCACCCCATGCACATATACAATAACTTAGAATTGATTCAGCTAAAGCCTTGTATGTCTGTATTATAATTCTAGTATCTGATAAAATCCTAATATTTTTAAAAATGAACATGAGTTTTCTTACACGCCTAGCCAATAAAGATATATCCTCTGCCCACGATAGTTTATCATCAATAACGACGCCCAAATATTTTATATTATTTATTCTTGTAAGGACTTTACAACTACAATTAAGACTTCCCATGTAAAAGCCACGATTACAAGGATGTGAGTGTATGCGAATTTGAAAGTTCGTGGGATGTCCACGACTAGTTTTGCTAAAGCAAAGAAATTTCGTTTTGCTCGTATTCAGAGAAAGTAAACTATCCTCGAGCCAAGTTGTTATGGTGCATAAGCCTGTTTCAGTAAGTCTGCGAACCTCATCCCAATTTTTACCTCGAAACAAGATAGCTGTATCGTCTGTGTACATTATAATATTAGCATTCTGTAATGTTATCCGACAGAGTTCATTAATGTATATTAAAAACAAAGTAGGCCCTAATGTACTTCCCTGCGGTACTCCATATGATACACAATCAAAGTCGCTAATATAATTATCGACTCGGACTCTCTGAATTCTATTTGTAAGATAGCTTTCAAACCAATTATAAGCGTTACCCCTAATACCGATATTCTCAAGACGGGCTAGCATTATAGGAATTGACACAGTGTCGAAAGCTTTTTGTAAATCTAAGAAAACAGCTAGACACTTGTCACCTTTATCAACATTATCTTTAATGAGTGTCGCTAGTTTTAAAACAGCGTCTTCTGTAGACATTTTAGGTCGAAAACCATATTGGTTGTTACATAGCACATTAGCTTGGTCCAGGTATTGAATGAGTCTTTTATTTGTCGCTTTTTCTATTATTTTAGATACTACACTGAGCAAAGATATTGGTCTATAGTTCGTTGGCATTTTTTGTCACCACTTTTGTAGATTGGGCAAATAACAGCAGATTTGAGTATATTAGGAAATACACCATATTCATAGGTAAGGTTGCAAATGTGGGCTAATGGTTTACACAAAGTCTCCCTAAATATTTTCAAGATTGACGAGGGGATATTGTCAATACCAGGGGATTTATTGTTTTTTAGTCCTGCGATAATCGTCATAATTTCATGTTCATCTGTAAAATAAAGAGACATTGAATTTTGTGGCGCATTATCTCTGATTGCTTTTTTGCAAGAGAACTTTCGTCAGTTTGTAGTTTTAGTAGAATTTCATTCGCAAGGTTACTTCCAACTCCAGTGAAAAATCTATTCACTTCATTCAGTGATTCTACAGCCGAGTTTTTAATGCTAAGTAGTTCTGTAGGAGACACTTTACTTTTGTTTATATTACACATTTCCCTTATAATATTCCACGTTTCTAAAATATTATCTCTATTTTGTTTTATTTTATTATGATAGTATTCTTTTTTTAGTGATTTTATAATTTTATTGCAAATATTACGGTAAGTTGTATATTCTTGTTTTAGTACTTCATTACTGACATCTTTTCGCAAGCGTTTATGTATTTTATCACGTTTCCTAATCGATTTAACAACACCTACAGTAATCCATGGTTTTAGAGGACGTTTCCGCTTAGGAATAGTAGTAACACTTGTATTACGTTCAATGGTTACTTGCAATGTTGAAATGAGCAAATCTGTAGCTATATTTACATCGTTTGTGCTATATAGATCCTCCCATGTTTCTAATTCTAAACAATTTTTAATTGCTTCAAAATTAATCTTGACTTTCTTAAAGCATAAGCTTTTTTTTTTCAAGATTTGTTTTTTCTATATGTAACAGAATAGGCGAGTGATCAGTTAACTTATTAAAAACAATAGTTTGGCATTTATGGGGCGATTTTACCATGAAGTGATCTATACATGAATTATCTCTTGTAAGAAGGGTTACCGCCTGCCTAAGGCCGTACATAGCTAATAGATTTAAATATTTTGCCGCATAATCGTTGCGGTCTTGGAGCATTAAATCTATATTGATATCACCAGTAAGAATAGTATTTTCAGTCAAACAGCTTTTCAAAATGCCATCCAAAGACTCAATGAAGTTTGTTGGATTTCGAAAACAGGGTGGTCGATACGTACATATGACAGAAAGATTATTATTGATACTTAATACCAAACAATTACCTTCAACCACGTTAGGTTCAAGGGAGGTAGCATTTAATTCTTGCCTTACGTAGGCGACCACTCCATCATTCTGGTTGATATTTTTTGTTGTATAGTGCGACACAAAATTGTTTACATTTGGAGGAATGAAATTTTCGTTTATCCAACATTCTGTTAACACAATAATGTCGATTTCTATTCTTAATTTGGAAATAAAAACTAATAGACTATCGAAATTTGCATTTAAACTCCGTATATTGATTGTTAGAATTATTACATCACTATTCCGGCTATTATTTAACGATAATGTACTAGAACATTTTGTCTCATCATCCAGTGAGATACATGGTATCTCAGCAGTGTTATCTATATCATTAGATATGTTAATGTGGGATATGTTGAATTTTATACTTATAAATTATTCAAAGTATCTATAACAAAGTTACTGTACTTATCTTCAAAATATATATTAATAAGATGAAGAAACGTACGGTTATAAATAAAACAAAATCGTGTAGTTTCACAAACTGTAAGCATTCGAATATCTATATTCATTGAACTTATAAAAAGAATTATTGTAAGCTTTATGGCAATAAAAAGTGATACTAAAACATCAAAACAAGCTATTAATATAGTCCAAAATGTGTAACGCAGTATTAAGTATGAGTAGTTCTTGTAACGAATAAGTATAGTGTAAGTGTGTAAAATTTCTGTGTATAGTGTAAATATGTTATATGAGTAAATGTGAGAGAATGTTTTATTATGTATGTTTAACATAAATGTGCTTAACCAATTATTTAACTTAAAATACAAAAGAAGATTGGATCCTAGACTAATAGTTAAAAAATGAAGCACTAGTCATTTAATATGCTCTAGGTCACTCTCGTTATTAATAATAATATGCGGTGAACCCTCCTTTTTACGGAGAAAGATCTTTCCTGAGGATGTCCAGCAAAAAAGATATTCCTTTTTCTTGGCTGACTCACGTGCCATAAAAAATAGTCTTCTTCCAGTTTGTGTGAGGTTCTCTGTTATAAATATTTGCTTAAAAGCCGAATCTTTATTAAAATTTTGTGTATTAAGTTTAATATTATTCGCCCTATTATATTTTTTTAAAGAATTAAGAAATTTATCTTTCACTATAACTGTGGAGAACTCACAAATAATTGGCTTATTTTCCTTTTTTGTATTAATTCTGTATATATTTTTGATATCAGACCGTTGCAGATTAAGATTTAGTATATTAGCAGTCTTTTCTACAATCTTGCAAAGAGACTCCTTCGATTCTTTAGTATCGTACGGTATATTCTTTATCTCAATAGAAGAAGCCCTCGAGTTTCTTTCCAAGCTCTCGATCCTGTTTTCTAAGCTTTGTACATATTTTTTACATTCTATTTTTTCCTCTTCCAATATTTTTAATTTCAAGAGCACTTGGTCATATTTTTCTGACATAAATTCAACTGCTGCTTTTATTTCAGTATTTTGGGTCCTGAGCTCGGCGATTGAGTCTAAAATAATAGAAAGTCTAGAGTCCTGTTTCGCCGACCATTTCTCAAACATTATCATTAAATCATTTTTTATAGACTTTAAATAATCCTGTTCCGTGTCGTGTTTCCGCTTGTTCCGCAGTGTGATGTTCAGCTGAGAGATGTCACTACAACCAGCTTCTTCTTTTTGCATCGAAATATTAGGTTCCGAAGCGTGATGTTGTAAGTTAGGGGATGAAGAGGGTTTGAAGAAGAGGGTTTGAAGGAAGAGGAACCATTGCCATTAATTGTATAATAATAAATATAAACCTTATTTTTATATGCAGGCAGCAGCACTTTCCTTATGCGGTGCGGTGCGAGAGGCTGAAGAACAAAAAGAACAGATCGAAAAGTTGATGGAAGAAGTGAAAACTTTACGCTCCGAATCTGAACTATTGGCCACGAATGCTGAGACATTTGAGGTAAATATTGTAGGTCTATTTGGTGAAGTCCGCCAACACGCGGTCAGCGTGGTGGACTATGGCCAGATCCCCCTCGTACTAAAGGGGGCTTCGTGCACAGAAGTGGGACGTTTTTTATTTAGAAAAAAGTACAGTAACAGCACACATTAAAACGTTTATATACACGTAGAAGAAAATCATATATAATTAATCAGCTATGTATGTCTTTACAAGTGTACATAACATTCGCTATACTAACACAATAAAAATTGATATTAAATTATAATAAAATCCTAATATATAATTAATAAATTATATTCAAATACAATAAAAATGAACTGAATGTATTTGGTATACCGCGTTGGTCTGATGGTTCAGGATAGGTCAGGTGTTATGGATAGCCTTTGGGAAGTTACAGGTTGACGTTTAGAACCTAATTGTAATAGACGATCATGACCACGACGGGGTTCAAACCGTTATAATTATGGTGGTCTAGTTAGGACGATTTTAACATTTTATCCTGAAATAAACATCTATCGATTTGGACCAAAATTTGACACAAACTCCCATAATATTTCAATTGTATTTTTTGTACTTACAGAAAGAAATTGCCAAAAAAGTTCAAGATGTCTTGGCGAAAACGCCATTAGAAATCAAGCCACGTAGAGAACCGCCCCGCCTTGCCAGTTTGCGTAATTCTGCTTCCCTCATAGATCTTAGTACTCCGGAGGTTCAGCAATCTGAAGACGTCCCTAAAAACCAAATACTGCAAATGTCGGAAATACCACAAATATCACAAATGCCAGAAATACCACACATGTCAGAAATATCACAAATGTCAGAAATATCACAAATACCAGAAATGCCACAAATATCACAAATATCACAAATGCCAGAAATACCACAAATGTCAGAAATATCACAAGTATCAAAAATGCCAGAAATACCACAAGTAACAGAAGCACCACAAATATCACAAATACCAGAAATAAACCCTGAGCCAATAGAACCTATCCTAATCTTCGAAGACAAACCGTCTCCTTCTAAATCACCCCAAAATCAATGGGATTTGAAACAAACTGGGTCTTTCGAACTTCTAACTCCATCTCCATTGGGTTTCACACCATTTGACTCCAGGTCCATAGATGAATTGATGACTCCAGACGAATTTGGTTCAGACCACCTCGCTCCAGGTCTAAGTAACATCAATTATGACATAGACCTATCAGATTTCAGCGGAGACAACAGTCTAGCAGAAGATGCAAAAGAGCCAAAAGACCCGTTCAGTCCGGATGGACTGAAAAAATTTGACCCCTTCCAACCGCATACAAGTCAAGACTGTAAAGTATTAGAAAAGTTTGACGAGTTCAGTCTGATTGATCCTAAAACAAATGAAACATCTGATTCCTTTGAAGTTGTACATAGATCTGAGGAGGCTTCGAGGGATCCTTTTAGTCCAGTTCAAAAGGAAACATCTATTTTAGATGACAGCGGGTCTCCGTCTGCTGAATGCTTTCTTCCCTCACCAATTTTACCACAAACCAGTAAGCCCATGTAAATATTAAATGTGTACTAAAGAGTTTTGTATGTGTATTGGAAATTAAACTTCTATACCTATTATAAAAGGGCAGAGTTTGTTTGAACGCGCTAATCTCAGGAACTACTAATCCGATTTGAAAAATTATTTTTGCATTAGATAGCCCGTTATAAATGTCAACAAATCGGGCAGACTTCCATATATTGTAAAATTGATGTTTATAATGAAACAAATTTAATGCGAGTGAAACCGCGGGGCACAGCTAGTTATATATATTCATTCGTGGTTTGTCACTTTGTGAGTTTAAATTTATTTAAGAGTATTTGTTTTAAAGCATAGATAAATAGTGGGCCCATGAGATTTAACATAGAACAAAAAAAAAATGAAAAATTATTTTTTTCGAGTGTTTTTTTACGCTTATGACGTCCACTTAATTGGTTTTCCATGAGTGATCTGAAAACGTGTTTATATATTTGTCAGACAGAATAAACAGATTAATTTGTATAGATGTTCTCTTGTCTAATCTATGTGATATTGGTGAAGTAATCTGTGCTCAACTGACACGCTTTGAAGCCAATAACAATACAATTGAATATAAATATATATATGTGCAAGAGGGACACAGGATACTTCTATCCCGGTTTCAGTGAGTCCTGTGGGATATTGTGTTACTACAAATGTAACTAAAATTAAATTTGTTAAATGTAGTTTCTAAGGATTTTGAGGGAAAAGCTTCTATACTTATGTAATACAAAAAAATACTAAATGTGCATATATTTTTTATTTATTGTAATTTTTTCTTCATTTGGATTGTTAAATTTGAAATTTTATCTCTAGAATGTCATTGTTTGATTATTAGAAAATCTGATAATTAATTTTAAAAATATGAGTGTACCTTTCTTCATGTAAATTGCCCTTTATGATTATTAAGTCATCACAGCTATCCTGGAATTTATGTATTCAATTCTCCTTAAAAAGAAATATTATGTTAAAATATTATAATAAAAAAATATTCCATGTAGATAAGTTATTGGCCAATTTCATGTTTGTATATATGTATTTCGTATTCCGGTATCAGAAACAGTATTGTGATTAGGAATTTTGTTTATAAGCAATGTATTAAAATGTGTAAAAAAATAAAGTTCAATATTTCCATCCGTGTGTTCTCGTTTTAAGTGCGACCACAATGTTATTTTAAACACAATAATATTTATATAATAAATATTTTAAACATACATGTATTCAACCTTTTTTAATCCCACTGATGGGTATGGGCCTCTTCAGGCCATAGTCCTCCACGCTGGCCAAGTGCGGTGCAGACTTCACGTGTCTTTCGAACTTGCCAGGTTCTCTCACGACGTTTTCCTTCGCCGTAAGGCAAGTGGTAATTATGTTGGGAATCATTTGCACATGTAAATATATAAGGTGCGAGACCTGGATTTCGAACCCGCTTCATTCGGTTTCTCAAGCGAGCGGATTACCACTGGGCTACCAACCTAAGGATATTAGATAGGAATGATAAAACAAAAGGAAATAACTCGGGTAATTATTAACATATACTTAAACTATTAAGGAAAAACGCAGATAATTTAGTAGCTTAGCTGATATGGTGGCCGACATATGGTGTGGTATCACCAATTTATAATATTACTAGAGACACACCCTCGCTTCGCTCGGGTTCATCCCTAGGTACGTTTTAATGGTTAGTATGAAATAGATAGACTATATATTATAATATATACATAGGTACAAAATAAACAGTTATGAATTTTTCGATTTTTTATTTAGGTTTCCCTATTTTCGTTAAGAGTCGCTAGTATATTATATAGATAGATTAACTAAGGGATAATTGTGAAAAAGCTAAAACAACATTCCAATTTTATACTTTGAATATTTAGGTGAATATAATTTGTACTTTTGTAAAGATTTTTGTTGGAACAATAGCTATACTTTACAAAGTTACCCTCACTTTCTCCAGTGCCAAACAGTCGCCTACGTGTCAACTCCAGGTCAGTCTATCCATTAAATTTCATTCAAATCTCCAGCTTCCTCATTATCATCAGCTTTTAAGAAACTTTCGCAATTATACGTTATATTTAATTTCTTTAATCTTATACATACATAATTAAAACCATATATGTACATTATAAAAATTTATTTCAACCAGAATAGGGTTTTATCTAAGATGTAGAAAACTTTAAATAATGAAGTATCCTATTGCGAGTGCTACTCACATTGAGAGCAAGCATTGCCTCTACAATAATTAAGTAACGTGAATTTCGCATAAATATAACAGATAAAAACTAGAATTAGAATCGCCAAACCTCAATTTGCTCAAACGCAAAATAAAGTATGGTGCCCAACTTAAATGTAAATTATATTGTACAGTTTTTAAGGCATGCATAATTAATATACCTATGGATTACAAATTTTCATTATTCTCATATTGGCACAAAATAATTTTAACTGGACCTATAGGTAACTTTCATCATTGAACAATAAACTTCCCTCGGAATGTTAATATTAATTATTAGTTATCTTTTGTTCTATTGCTTATGTTTGTTAGGTACAGGTATTAGGCACATAAAATTATGTTCAATTAAAAAATGTGTATAAAATGTATTCAATGGTTCTTTCTTATGTTCTTTTAATCCAACTTGTCGATAATAGAAAAAATATAATTATCTATACCTAAATATTATTATAACATTGGTGTGATGCAAAATTGCATATCACATAGACTAGGATTATATGCAACTGTATGGAAAGTCAATATTGATGCGTAGTGTTTTATGTAAAGTGAATCGATTATTTATTTATTAATATTTAAGGAGATTTATGTTTTTTATATATTTGCATATAATCCAACATCTGTACTTCATTATATTCATGACAATATATATCCCTTGTATGAGTGTCTGACAATGTATTTGATTCTAGCACTCTGTTACCAATCTTTATTAGTTTCAAACTAATTTCATTCATATATACACATACTATATACTAATTATTTGCTCATTTGGAATTACCTTTAAAAAACCTTACCACTTTAACTTCTGTAGTTGTTAAAGCTGCCCATTTTTCTGCTACTTATGCCTAAATTGAACACACATTTACAATAAAAATGAAATTATTTTTGGTTCATTTTTATGTAGATTATATAATTACATTTGATTCAAAACATGTCAAGTAATAATTTGTATGTCATAAAAATATTAATTCCACTTCCATTTGTATTGTAATAACTAAAATACACTATCTATAGTTTTATTTTGTTCTGGTATCCTTCATTGGCATAATATATAAATAAATCAACAAAATTTTTTTAGAAAAATTGTCATTAACACAAAACAACCATCATAATACTGCACTTATCCGTGGGTGACAGCGGCAAGCTTTGGCTTATAAAACCAAATAAAATGCTGTTTAATTTGTTAAAGAAGCTGCATAGTAATCTTAACAATTAAATCATAATATTCTCAACACTAAAACGAAAAAGTTCATAGTGCTATGAGAATGGTTATAATGACGATATTGTTAAGCAATTGAAATTGTGACATTGATTCCAAGGTTTCCATTATCTGCAAACAATTGTGCAAGAGAGGTGTCAAAAACAAGGCAATCTGAGTTCATGATAGCGGAAGATACTCCTTCATGAATTGAACGGGGCATGGCCTCCCAGGTGAGTCTCCTTCTATGTCCGTTCAATTCCAAACGATATGCAAAATTTTCTGCCTCCTTACGTGATCCTATTAATTGTACAATAGCAAAGAATTGTTGATGACCATCAAACTTCTCCTGTTTTTCTAAAACTAACATGAAGTGATGATTGAAGCAAGACTGCATCATAACCCAATCTACAGCACCGGGCAAGTTGATATCTGTTGCCAAGAAAACTATGTCTTCGCCTTGTAATGTTGTGATACTCTTGTGGGACATCATTAAATGTGGCATGACCTGATCTAGACCTCCTTGCCACTTACATGATGCTCCAGGGCATGGACAGGAGTAAGGTCTGAACTCACATGCTTCTTCGTGCTCTGCTTTTTCCGTATGAACTAATGTAACAGTGCATCCTGTGTTGGAATGTTTGCATGGAAACATTACATTACTAGCAACTTTCTCCATAGCGAGGTTTCGTATGTTGCCGAGGGGACCGCGGCAGGTAGGGCAACAGGACAGCTTGGGTCTACAGCTCGAACACACGAGGTGCCCGCTCTGACACTGCAGGATGGGTGGTAAGACATAGTCGAAACACACAGGACACTCGAAGAGCGAGGCTAGGTCGGCAGACATCGCGGTCGGGACGTTGACAAGCGCGGGCACCCCAGGGACAGCACAACTGGAACTGCTAGCTCCACGTCTCTTGTTGTTTGTGCTCATGTCACCGTCACGCGCACATAAAATCCGTCGATCAGCGATCAACAATATAGTTATCTCAAAATAAGTAACGAAAGAAAAATACTCAGCAGTACATCATTTATATCCTTCCACCGTAGACATTTTCCGTCTGCTGGTATTGTTGAAGTTAGATTCCATCACAGCTTCGGAGCCCAATGTTTTATTTTTTATCAGGAAACTTTTAATCTCAACAATTAGAGATTTACTTCGAAATCCATGTGAATGGTATGCAGAAAGTATATTTCGCAAACGGGAATTTAGATGATTATTATTAGGAATCAATAAAAAAAACTATTATTAATGACGAATGTTCTAGTTCACTACAAATTACAAAAGGATGATATTCCTCGTACCATTCAATGACGACTTCACCAATCGAAAAACAAGTGACAGATAGTAACAGTGCTGCCAATTTTTGGTCTAAACAAAATGCCACAGATAAATATTTAAAAATAACTAACCAACTAAGCTCCAAAATGCAAAACACGTGCCAGTTGCCTTGCCACATGGCAGTATTAGTAATAACTAATAATCTAATAAATGAAGTCTACACAGATTTCAATATGTACAAAATTAATCTAAATTCTATATCAAAAGTATATGCCTACTATTTGATTAGACGCTGAATATCGATACAGAGGCTGAATCTATAGTTTTTAGAATTTTTGTCTGTCTGTCTGGGAACCCATCGTAAGAAACCCACTGGACAAATTTTGAAGAAATTTGATATGATGATAGCTGGTTATCCGGGTTAACTTAAAGGACTTTTTACTGCGGGAAAATATCTCTTCTCTGAGAAATCTATACTAACAGTTAAAACGTATCTAGGAACGAACCCGAGCGATGCGACAGTGAGCCGCTAGTGTTTAATACTTAAGTAAACACATACTAGAGAAATCTTATCATCATCACAATCGCAATACCATGTAATCAAGTTAACTTGACAAGATATAAAGAGCAAGCACTGAATTTTCCCACGCTATTGTCTAAATTTAGTTTACTTAATGTAGCCAACTGTAAAGGCTGCAAACGGTTTATTATAACAGTATCCAGTGTATGTTTTTTATGGAATTGAATTTAACGTTATCTACAGACTAAATAATAATTTTATCAGTCACAGGTTATTTCTGAAATTTGAGAGCGTAGAAGTTCATTTGAAGCGGACTTTTATTTCACAAGAAGCAGACACGCAAAGAATGTTGATGTTTCCGATTTTTACCGTATTTGATACATGTCCGCGACTTACGCGCAATATATTTTTATAATATAGGTAAAGCTTGGTTGTAAAGTTCATGGAGACTGAAATTTTGATTAACCGATAGGTAGGAGAGGTTTGGAGCTCACTACGTATTAGTAAAAAGTTACAATAAATTAATAAAACAGTATAATTTATAGTTTATTTAGTGGGCTAATTGTTATTGCATATTTAGGACATTAAAAATGTTTAAGATTCACAATGCACTTTATCAAAATACCTTCAGCAGTCGGAATTAAGCCATGATATTCTTTTTGCGCCCGTTATTGTCACTGAAGTGTCAAATCTGTGGTTTATAAATTAATTTTCTCCGTTTTCTTCAAATTTTGTTCACGTGCATTATAAATTTCAGTTGGAGGATTTTATGTTTTAGCCAATTCATATTTTAGCTGGGTGTCGTGCAATATACCCCGTCAGTAATACGAACATTTTTTTTAATTGTAATGTTTTTTTTTTAATTTAAAAAAATATAAAAGTGGTCTTGGTGGTAACATTTTGGTGGTATCAGCGTCAATCAAGGCCGCCACGACACCCGATAGATATCTTTAAACTAATAGATACAATTGGCGTACTGCCTCAGTCGGCTGTAATTCTTTAATTGTATATTCTGAATTTAATATTAACTAGCTTGTTTGCATTTTTTTAATTTATTAATCAAACAAAACGTTTTCCATTAATATTAATTAATGGTAGTTGAAATAAATTTATAATTTTAAAATGCACTTATTTTCTTTTTCATCAATTATTTGCACGCAACATTTTAAAAGTGTTTTTACAAAATTATTGTTTGGTATTTTTAATACAAAATCGGACAAATGCGAGTTTGACGCACACAGTATGTTCCGTAGCATGACAGATTTAATTTATATCATAGATTAACATTTAACACTAGCGACTCACTCTCGCTTCGCTTCCGGTTCGTCCCTAGATAAAAACAAATCTTTCCCACGGGAATCGTACATTTTTGCGGATAATATAGCCTATAGCCTTCCTCAATAAACGGGCTATTTAATGCAAGAAGAATGTTCAAGTCGGAATAGAAGTTTCTGAAATTACCGCGTTCAAACAAACAAACAAACAAACAAACAAACAAACAAACAAACTCTGCCTCTTTATAAGAATATTATTTAGTTAATAGGTACTGATTTGTATTCCCTTTTCCGACTCATACTTTAACAAAAGTCACTTTATCTATTTGAATTTTATTTTATAGATCTATTCAGCTACATATTATTATGTTACATATGAAGTGCCACTCCAATTTTTACCCGATTGCGATGAAGTCCAAAGTAGGGTTGTTTATTAGGTGTTTGGCCCGTAAGTATGTACATATATACATACACATATTAATGTGTATGTGAATATGTCCGATCCTCCTTAAGCAATTTAGTAATTATGAGGGAACCTTTAGTCATAATTACTTAAGGGAAGTGCTTAAATGATTTATATGATCCATTTTCCATTCATATGTACTTCATTAGATATACGTTATTAGGCAGATCTTAGGTGTCTTAGAAAATGGTACTCGCTTCGGTATCGGCATATATACTAAAATTGGAACGATACAGAGAAGACTATAAATAGCTTTAACGATTTGGATCAAATTTTGTAGTTATATAAGGTTTTGCTTTTTAAGTTTATCTATCTAAGGTGCCTAAGTCTTTTTTGAAAAACCGCAATTTTTATATCTGCCAAAAATGCCGAGTGAATCTCGGTCGCCCAGGTAGTGTACATAATTTAAAAGTAAAAGGCATTACAAACCTTACACACGTAAATTGATTAATTTTAAAATATTTTTGGCATGTATATTACCATAGTATTGGCTAGAATAAAAACACACATAAGACTTAGACTAAGTAGATAGTTACGTAAAGTCGTATTATTTGTGATGATTAGAAATACTTTATCAACAGTCTAACGGTACGAAATTATGATCCACTTTTTTTAACTGGTCTCTGCGAAAAGGTGGCTATGGGATCCACTCAAATACATAACCAGTTTTAAAAATTACTAGCTGTACCTACCTGGCCATGCGCTGTGGCTCATTCTGGTAAAAGCATTGGCGAGTAACAGCAAAATATATTTATTACCAAAACTCTTTTTTATTATGTGAAAATTTCATATTCGAATATTCTTTCAAAATTGTAAAGAAATCGGTGAAGAATTCGGAGATATACGGTATTGCATTTAAAACAAACATTAATATTTTAGTTTATATTTCTTTGAATTAAAAAGATCTTTAAAAACCACCTTTTTTCATAGTCGGTAATTTTTTTTAACCTTTGACATTTGTTTATGCTGTTAAACTAACCATATTAAAAACTAGCATTGCCCGCGGCTCAGCCCGCGTTCAGATGACCAAAAACCAAATTCTTAGGTTGTACATATTAGTATATTCTTGCATTGCAGTTTTTGTATTTTTTCTCAAAAATGAGATATTTTCTCGCGGTAAAAAGTATCCTATATGTTGACCAGGATAACCAGCTATCACCATACCAAATTTCATCAAAATCCCTCCAGTGGTTTTTCTGTGATGCGGTAACAGACAGACAGACAGACAAAAATTCTAAAAACTATAAATTTGGCCTCTGCATCGATAATAATATTTATTTCAATAAGATTTTCGAAAAAAATATTTAATGTACAGAATCAGCTTAGTTACAATTTTATTATATGTATAGATAGATAGTTTAATCACTTTTTTATATTATAAATACAAAAGTGTTGTTCCTAGTTTATAGTTTGGACGTAAACTCTCACAGCAATCGAGCAACAGATGACATATAAAATATTTTCCTAGAAGCCTCGAAATAAAAGAATTGAATTGAAGATATAAATTGGTAACTGGCTTAGGCTACTGTCTATCTCAGTAAGTACATATAGCGGTTTTTGTGCAGCCCTACAACTAAAAGTTGCAAAGCAATATTACCTATAAGCTAATAGATAAATATTAATTATTATAATAAGCAAGCGGATCAGTGGTTGTAAATTGTAATCCGGCGGATCTGAGAGATTCGGGATTACAATCTGAACATTGTTATTTTATACAACAAAAGTAAAAGGTAGTTAAGGTCAACATTTATACAACAGTCTTCAATGTCGTGGGAAATTTAGTCGCTATCATTCGGCGGGAACTCGTCTGATTTCGGGACTCGAATTTTAATTAATGGTCATATTATTAAATTAGATACTAATCTACCTTTAGTTCTTGCTTATGATTTATTTATTTTTATTTTATTTATTTTTAATTAGTTTATTTTAATAACGTTTGCTAGTGTTTATAATACATGTTTTACAAGAAATGATTTAAGTTAAATAATTAAAATACAGACAATTATGGATAACCGTTTAAAAGCAAACACAACTTGCATATCCTTGTGTTCGTTTTCACAATGGATGATAAAAAAATTTAAGAATATTTTTTTGGCCCTCTTCGTTAAGGAGACAGTCCTAACCACATATTTTCTTGAATGTTACGCGATTTTACGATGTTATATGTGACTTTTATTCTAAACTAGCGACTCACTCTCGCTTAGCTCGGGTTCGTCCCTAGCATGCTTCCCCATACAAACTTTCATCCCTATTCTCACCCCTTTAAGGGATGATTTTTGGGATAAAAACTATTTCACTCACTCACTTTTCATAACATGAGTTTTAAAAAAATCTTATTTTAGAAAAAAAAAAATACTTTTAATTTTCTTCTATACAAAACTTGTCCTGACAAGAA